TCTAGAATGGTGGTTGTGGCAGAATCCATATTGGCCTTCAAAAAGGAATCAGATAAATATAATAATACTTGCATTTGATTTAGCACCTTATCACATCTTTGAGATGTCTCAAAGCACTTCACAGAATATACTGTAAAGTGAATCGACTGTATATTTTGTGGGCGAAGCATGGCAGCCAATTGCGCACAGCAGTGTCCCACAAACAGTCATGGATTCTGTGACCAAATTATTTGTATTCACTTTAAAGGAATTATTACCACCGGAAAAGCGATCCGCCAATCACTAACAACTGGATTGCGACTTATTGCTAGGTAAACAGAAGCATGTGGAGTAAGGAAACTTCCCCAACGTTTTGCCCTGCCGGGAATCGAACCCAGGTCCTCTCATTTGTAAGGCGAATGCTCTAACCACTGAGCTACAGAAATATCCAAAAAGGAGAAATATAAAAGAGTAATGGAAAAAGATAATAAAATGGGACTAAATGGATAGCTTTCGGAGAGCCAAAACAGGCACAAGTGAGCTGAATAGCCTCCCTCCATTATAAATGTTCAGGGTTCTATGGTTGTCTCTCTCACTATGTGACAACAGCTATCTATGTTTCCTTGTCCTCCTTGACCAGTATATTGTTGACCATTCTATCCTACTTCATTGCTTCTCCTCTCTCATCCACTTCTGTGGGACTGCACTTTTCTGGTTCGAATCTTTGACCCATCACCTCTACTTTACATCTGCTAACAGCTCCTCTTCTTACTCTCACATGGTCACTTGCTATGTACCTCCAGGTTCTGTCCACTCACCTCCTTTTCCTCTTCTACTCGCTCCCCTTCGGTTCCTTCATCCGCAAACATTGGGTTAGTTTTCACATGCACATGGAATGACATCAAAATATACCTCGCTACTTCCATTTATCCCAATCCACTGATACTCTGATTGCTAATATTTTATGTTATCTAATATCTATTTTATATTTATCTTCTATTTATTTTATATCATTTTATATTATCTTATATTATTTTATGTTATCTAATTTTATTTTAGATTATCTAATATCTCCCCATTTTCAGGTGGCACTTGAAGACCTTTCTCTTCAACCATGACTATGGTCACCTTCCCACCACGCTGGCTCGGCATCGGGCTATACCAATGTTAAGAACTCCGAAACACCATCCGGCGTGAAGGGAGCTATATAAATGTAAGTTGTTGTTGTTGCTTCCCTGGCAGACATAAAGTTCTGGATAAGCCTCAACATTCTTCACCTATATATGGACAAGATGTACTTCCTCAACCTTTTTGACCTCTCTCTAACTCGCTGAACAAGTTCACAAAGCTAGTTCAGTTCATTTCTGCACAAAATTTTCTTGATATGAAGCTACATGCTATTTTTACCTTGACTGAATTGTTGTAATTTTGACATAATCACAATACTTCTATGGTTACACTGGTGGCTAGGGCTGAGAGATTTGGTTTCAATATTTGGTTTAAATGTGAAAAGTTTGGGCTTTTCTTGAGTCATTCCATCACCTCCAATGAATGGTCAGCAAAGTATTCATGGACACTATTCCCTCAAGTAAGAGTCCGCAATTCCCTTTGAATTTCCTGAGTCCTTCAGGGCCCTACCTCAGAATACTGTTGCCCTGATGGGCTCGAGAAATGTGCCACTGAGACTGCCACAGAGAATCGATTCAATTCTGATATTTCATTGTAAGTCGTGTCACTTTGGAGACAGCCCCACAAAGAACTGCTAACTCCCCCATCCCATGAGGATAACTAGTAGTTGGTTATTAGACATTTGACAAATAGAGGTTTGAATCCTCACCGGTGGAAAGCACGTACCAGAAACTCCTTGCACGTTTTTTGGTGAATAGCACAATGCAGCAAGAAATGCTTCCAAGCATACTTGTTACCATTCTCCTCAGGTACATACTACTATTTAATGAACATACTTCCATGCAAAGTGTTTTATTTAATAGATCTGAATATTTTGTTTATTTTTAACAGAATATTCTCAGGATTTTTATAGAGGTCAGAAGAGGTATCTGACATAACTGTGAAACAGGAGTCAGTTATTGCTGGAATATACATTCAGTATGTGGAGTCCTGTAGCTCAGTGGTTAGAGCACTCACCTTGCAAGCAAGACACCTGAGTTCAATTCCAGGCAGGGCGAAACCTTGGGCAAGTTTTCTTACTCCACACGCCTAATAATAATCCCTCCAAAAACAAAAATAATAAATTGGGCATTTTCAATCCACGACTGTTTGTGGGACACTGCTGTGCGCAATTGGCTGCCGCGTTTCGCCCACAAATATAGTCAATTCACTTTACAGCATATTCTGTGAAGCGCTTTGAGACGTCTAGAAGACGTGAAAAGCGCTAATTCAAATGCAAGGATTATTATGATTGGAGTAACTGCACAAGAGTACATTCCTAATCCTGTAGCAATCAGTTAGAGAACCATGAGAATGGAATATGTAGCAGATTATTGAGGATAACTATAAGATATTTCTTAGTATGGGAGTTATATGTACATTATTGAAGGTTCCCAGGTTTGGAATGATCGTATGATGAGGGTAGACATTGGGTGACACTGGGGGTTCGGAAAACTAGTACAAGTACTGTTGCCATTGTTACTCATGTCAGTGATTTCATGTGGTAATGTACCCTAGTAGATTTTATGCAAATAGTGGTCCAGGTCATGAATAAAATTAGTATATATGTAGAACAAAATGTATTACAAAGAACACTTCTAACAAAAAAGTAATCTCTTTTTATTCTGAAAGAAGTAGCTCTTAAAAATGTTAGACACTGCATCTCAGGGTCACAACAATTGATAGAAAAAAAATTGACACAAGAAATGACCTTTCATTAAAAGATCTTGCTGGTTTGTTTTTCCTGATTCTGAATACTATCTATGAGGATAGTATTGTGGATCTATAAGCTGGTTGATTTACAAGTAGGTGCTCTAAAAACCAAAGTCTTGATCTCAAGTTGATTTTATATATATTAGATTTAAGTAACTGTAAGACAAAAATTATGTTTTCAGCCTAGCTCTTTGGGGAGAAATATTACTGATCTTTGTAACAAATTAGTTCAAATAAATGCATTCCTGTGGAAGAACACTCAAAAATGTAATGATCTCAAAGAGCAGTAGTTTTTTTTGATTGCTTCGATAGATAACATGCATAACTATGTCGACCTAAAATCCCGTTTGTTCCAGAATATGCAAAACATAATAATACTGCATCCGATTGTATTAACAACAACAACAAGATTCCATTTATAAAGCGCCTTTCACGTCAGGAGGACGTCCCAAGGCGCTGGAACCAAAATAAATGTAATCAGATTGAGTTGAGCCAGTGTTTGTGAGGAAGCATTAAAATACGTTATCAAATTGACAGGATTTGGCTTGGATGTAATGGGCCTTACACTCAAAAAAGTTTCCTGGCATTCAGTTTATATCAACTCATTAAGCACTGACATTTGAACAAGGAATGTCATACTTCAGGAGACATTTGCAATATTGTTTGAGGTTTGGACACCCTACCTTCAAAAGGACACTGACATACTGAAGAGGGTGAAGAGAAGACAAGCAATAAGGATTTTGTTAGGACATTTGCTCTTGACTGCATTGGTTTAAAATTAACAAGCCTCAAGAAACCAGAAGGATTTATATTTTGCCCATGGTAGTGAATTCGATAAATATTTGCGCTGAAAACAGTATTGGGGAAACTGTTGTATATAACTGTTATATTTCAATTTTTCACACAGCGAGTTGTTCGGATCTAGATTGCATTGCCTGAAAGGCTGGTGGAAGCCAATTCGATAACAAATTTTAAGAGAGAAATAGATAATTATTTCGGGAGGACAAGTTTGCAGGGTTATGGGGAGAGAGTGGGTGTGTGGGATTGAATTGGAGAGCTCTTTTCCAAAGAGCAAACACAGACACGGTGGGCCGAATGGTCTGCTTCTGTGCTGTATAATTCTAAACAAAAAAAATGCATTTAGGCATTTAGTAAGGGACCTATAATAATAATCCTTGCATTTGATATAGCCCTTATCACATCTTTGGGATGTCTCAAAGTGCTTCACAGAATATACTGCGAAGTGAATTGATGTATATTTTGTGGGTGAAACGCGACAGCAAATTGCGCACAGCAGTGTCCCACAAATAGCTATGGATGGAGTGACCAATTTTTTTTTGAAGGATTATTAACCCTGGAAAAGCGATCTGCCAATCGACTAACAACCAGGTTGCTACTTACTGCTAGGTAAAAAGATTTGTGTGGAGTAAGGAAAGTTGCCTAACATTTCGCTCTGCCTGGGAATCAAACCCAGGTTCTCTCGCTTGCGAAGCGAATGCTCTAACCAATACGCTACAGGACTCTGCCTAGTCTTTAGATGGAGGAGGAGGAATGAACCAGTAGAGGAGCTACACGGTGGGCTGTATTGCTGCAGTCTGTAAAATAAAACTGAAGTTGTTTGGAGTCTTTATGAATTTCACTTTGGACACAACAGAGACTGCACCATATTGGGGTTAAATATCCTGTATTTATAACCCAGGGGCTGTAAAAGGGACTCCTTTTGGTAACCAGAAATATCACACCAACACAATTTTACTGACCCTTTCCCCTAATTAATGTGCAATTGGAACAATGTTGAAGTTACTGCATGTCAAGAAAATAGGCTTAAAATATAATCATACACAGGATTTATTAGATGTGATTAAATAAATAGGAATTTTAGAGAAAATCTGATTCTGAGATATCCCTAATTCAGATTGAAAAAATACTGAGTCGTACCAATATAATTGCCTTTCCAGTTCAAAACATAAGGTAACGTCACAGAAAATGGAATAGGCAATCAGACAGTCTGCTAGAAGCAGAACAGAGTTCCATTCGGGAAACCAAAAATGAATGCTAATACTTGTAATTAATCATCAGCATCAAGAAAACCTTCACTGTCATCATAATATAAATGTTTTACTGAAACCTGAGACGTTTACTTTATAGAAATTAACTTTCATTCTTATGTATTTAGCACATACTGAAAAAAATAATACTCCACAATAGTACAGCAGTGTACATTGGCATTTGACCTATTTGATAGGTGAAGCTGTCTATCAATGATCAGGACCCAGTTTCACAAAGACAACAAACAATTTTAAAGATGGTTGCACTAGGGTTAATCAGAAGTCACAAACAAAATAAGTATTATCTTACTCCAAGATATGAAAAATGTAACTCTACATTTCGGAGTGAATCAAATCACCAATGACTTGCATCACATTTTGTGAGATGATAAATCAACATGAAGAAAGGGCAAATGATTAAAAACAAACATGATTCGTTTCAAGCTTAATTAATACAGGGTTTAGCAAAACAAGATTTTTAAAAAAATCATAGCAAAAAAGAAAAAGAACATAGACAAAGAAACTAAGAGAAACCCTTAGATAGGCATACTCTTCCAAATATAGTGTAGCAATTTCATAAGTTCTTACAGTACCTGATTTCCCTCCCCAGAACCAAAATATGTGTCCACAAATGTCACCACATAAATCTTTGAACTTCTTCCCTATCGTGCCACTGAAATGTTTTATTTAGGAACAAGTAAATAGTTGCTACATTTATCAAAACATAGATGGTCAACTCTACAAAAATCTTAAAACCTGAGGGCATTGGAATGTTCAATCTGTAGATGAGGTAAGGTACAATAAAATACCGAAACTCTAACAATTTCTGTGGAACTGTGGCAACAACCAAACAGACAAAAAAGACCAACTTCCAGAATATTGATTTGGATTTCAGTGACTCAATGAAGGTCCAGGCAGCAAAGATGTATCCTGGAATCAACAAGTACTTCATCAGTTCATGCCGCTGAAATATATTCTTCCAAACATAAAATGTGTAGTGTCTGTTGTCTGCCAACAAGTACTTATGAACATAAGTGAACTTCCACACTAAAAACAGACAGACAAGAGGAAGACCTGTGTACAATAATTTACGTTTCCTTATTGAATCCAAGAAACTTAGGATCTTACTAGGGGAAACCAGGTGAGGAACAGAGAATGCAAGGGTAAATGAAAAGAAGTAGAACAACTGAGGAAAATTCAGAGTGGCCTGGTGGCTACTCTTGTCACCAACTACTATCCCTCCGTTCAGGAAGACAAAGACCAAAAATCCCACAACCAAGACAAAATATGGCCATATCAGAAGTATCAGGACTTTCAGATTGCTCAGAGATCTGACATATTCTAAAAGGAACAGCACGATTTTCTTGATTTCTGCAGTTGAATCATGAACAGAAAGTGGCTTTTCATCTTTTTTCTTGGCTGAATTAGTTTTGCATGTTTCAGTCAATTTCTGTGCAACAACACTTCCTGCACAGAACACAGTCCATATGATATTCGTCTGACGGAACATGACAGCACAAAAATTAAGGCAGGATGCAGTTTTATGACTCCCATACAGACACATCAGGTAAGCGAACAGGATGAAGAATGTTGAGCCTACATCTGTGTAGTAGAGGAATGAGAAAAAATAAAGTAGAGGGAACGAAGCAAGTGCTAATGGTGTCATAATCCTCTGGAACGGGGAAGCTGCCTATGGGGAAAATAAACCATAAAACAATTACAACATTAGCCACTTTTGGATACATTTTCATCATTTTACATTATGCTGAATGGTTGTACAAATTATTTCACACTAGCAGGTGCATAAACATATCTGAAGTCTATAGAATTTTAATACAATCTAGCATCAGCATAATCCAGTGAAACTCTTTGCAGAATTACACAACAGAAAGAACATCCATTTTTATAATGCCTTATGTTGAAATGTATCAAAGTGCATTACAGTTCTGTAATTGCTGTTAATGTAGTCAATGCACATATAAAAATTATTCTGATATGGGTGCATTTCTACTTACTGAATAATGTATATCAGATTTGTAGAAAATAGAAGAAACATTTTGCATTTTTAAACCAAAATAAAAATAAAAACAGCTTGCATTTACATAGTGCCCCTCACGCAGATTAGCGTCCCAGAGCACTTGACAGTGGCGGAGCATGAAGTCAAGGCAGGGGGAGGGGGAGGTGACCATAGACACAGTCGAAGAGGAATGTCTTCAAGTGCGACCTGAAGATGGGGCAAACCAGAGGAATAAAGGAAGAGTGTACCAGAGATTTGGGACTTAGTGACTGAAAGCACGGTGGAATACCAATGGTGGAACGGAGAGCATGAGGGACTGCAGAAGGCCGGAGCCAGTCGAGTGGAGGTTGTGGGTTGGGGTGTAAACAGTTCAGAAAGATGGAGAGGTGCCAGGGCATGGAGGAATTTGAAAACGAGTGTGAAGATCTTGAAATCGATCCAATCGGCGATTGGGATCCAGTGGAGTCTGGCTAGAACTGGTGTGATGGGGGAACAGAGTTTAATGCGGGTGACTTATGCGGGAGGCAGAGTTTTGGATCAGCTGGATCCTGTGCATAGTGGAATTGGGGAGACTGACGATGGGGGCATTTGAAAAGTCGAGTCAGGAGGTGACAAACACATGGACGAGTGATTTGGCCGTATCTGGGGTAAGGTATGGTCGAAGGCGGATAATGTGACAGAAGTGGAGGAAGGCGGTCCTAGTCAGGGACTGGATGTGAGGAAGGAAGGACAGCCGTGGGTTGAACCTTATGCCTAGGTTGCGCGCTGTTTCGGTAAGTCTGAGGGATAGGGTGAGGAGGTTGAGGAGGTCAGAGTCACAAGGATAGAAGACATTGACGGGAGCCAATGAGTTCAGCTTCCGTCTTGTCAACATTTAGCTATAGGAAGCTGCACTCTCCACCTCTCAAAGCCAGTCAGGAACCTTGGCGTTTTGTTCGACCCTGAGCTGTCCTTTCTCCCTCACATCCGCACCACAACTGGCACCGCCTTCCATCACCTCCGGAACATCGCCAGACTACGGCATTACCTCACCCCTCACACTGCTGAAACCCTGGTTCACGCCTTTGTCACCTCAAGGCTGGACTATGGGAACTCTCTCCTCGCCGGCCTTCCCGCCACCTCCCTCCACAAGCTGCAGGTCATTCAGAACTCTGCAGCTCGTGTGCTGTCCCGCACCAGGCTTTGGGACCACATCACTCCCACCCTCGCTCGCCTCCACTGGCTCCCCATCCCCCAGAGGATTGATTTCAAGATCCTCATCCTCACCTACAAGGCCATTCACGGCCTTGCTCCCTCCTACCTCTCCGACCTACTATCCCCCTACCTACCTGCCCGTACCCTCCGTTCCTCTGGCTCCGGTCTGCTCCACGTCCCCCGCCCCAACCGCCCTACCATCGGTTGTCGGGCCTTCAGCCTCTCAGCCCCCAGGCTCTGGAACTCCATCCCCAGTGCCTTCGCCTTGCTTCCTCCCTTTCCTCCTTCAAGGCCGGTCTCAAAACCTTTCTCTTTGACCGAGCCTTCAGCTCCCCTCTCGACTCTCTTCCCCCTCCTCGCTCCCTCCCTTCCCTCCCCTCACCCTGACCATTTCCCCCTCCTCGCTCCCTCCCTTCCCTCCCCTCACCCTGACCATTTCCCCCCTGCTCGGGTCATGACCCAACTGTGCAGCGCCTTGGGACGTCCTCCTGACGTGAAAGGCGCTTTATAAATGGAATCTTGTTGTTGTTGTTGTTGTTGTTTACGCTAATCCAGGCCCTGATGTCCATCAGACAAGCTGGGAGAACATCGGCTGACCTGGAGTCACAGCTGGAGGAGGAAAAGTAGATTTATGTGTCATCTGCATACATGTGTCAGTTTACCTCATGTCTGCAGATGACATCGCCAAGAGGGAGCAAATGGAAGAGCAGGGGGGGCCAAGGATGGAGCCCTGGGGAACACCACAGGTGACTGGGTGGGGATGGGAGGAGAAGCCGCCTGAAGAGATAAAGTGAAGGGGTTTGTTAGGTAGGACTCGAACCAGGATAGTGCGGGTCCACTAAGGTGGATGAGGGAAGAGAGGCAGTGGATGAGGTCCAGGAGGATGAGGAGGCAGAGGGAGCCCTGGTCACAGAGAGAGAGGATGCCGTTTGTGACCTTGACAAGCATCGTCTCTGTGCTGTGGGCAGGGCGGAAACCCGACTGGAGGGGATCGATGAGGGAGTGGAGGGAAAGATGAAAACAAAGCTGGTTAATGACAATGAGTCCCAGAGCGTTGGCAAGGAAGGGCAGGTTGGAAATGGGACAGTAATTTGTGAGGTTGGAGGGGTTAAGAGTGGGTTTTTCGAGGAGGCGAGTGATGACAGCTGTTTAAAGGGGGAGAAGAACTCGAGGAGCGAGACTGGTTGACTGTTTCAGCCAGCAGCTGGGAAAGGAGGCAGAGTTGGGTGACCAGCGACTTGGTGAGGGGGGACGGGGTGGGGGGCGGAGGTCGAGGCAGTAGTTGGTGGGCTTCTTTTGGGAGATGGTGATTAAGAAGGAGGTGGGAGTAATTGGGGCAAAGGAGTAAAGGAAGGGGGGAAGTGGGAGGGGCCATGGCAGAAGGAGGGTGCGTTAGATGGTCTGGGGGTGGAAGGGAACAGAGGGGAGGAGGATACAGTCAAACGATAATTTTCAATCTTTGACACAAAGAAATCTATGACCTCTTCGCACTTGGAGTTTGAAGTGAGGATGGAGGCAGCTTGGGGTTGTGCGCAGAGAAGATGATGGATGGTGGAGAACAGTGCCTTTGGATTGTTTTTAGCCTCCAAAATGGTTTTGGTGTAAAAGGTAGTTTGGGCCAAATAAGTCTAGCTTTCATTAATTGAGTTCATAATAAACTGGTAAAAGGAGTCTATGTACCTTGTCCTTCTGATGTATCTTGCCCACAAGCAGATAAAGCAAGTAGAGAGTACCAGTGCTGAAGAGTAGATTAATGAACCGCAGCATCCCTGTGGAACAGACCACATTTCCTGTCCAGCCAAGCAGCCATGTCATGGGCTTAATTATCCCAGTGGAGACCAGATACAGGCCAGGTAGAGTAGTGATCATTGGATCCCACTGAATATCAGACAGTGTTTGAGAAAGTTTAATTATTCATTTATTTTACATTCAACAAATTAAAATGGTATATTGACAAATGTCTGGATAATATATTAATCATTTTATAAATGTGAAAAAGCGAAAAATGTTGCATTACTATGAATTTAGTTATGTTTGTATCTTTATTGTAGAAATAATTATTTATAATCTAAACTATAGCCAACATACATACTTCATTAGATGTTCTACAAGTGATAGAATAAAGAGTAACTTTTTGTAATTTTGTAGCAATTTATATATCTCAGAAATTCCACTTCCAGTTCAGGTGCAAACCCTGGACACTCCCAGCGCCATGGGAAGTCCTCCCAAAATGAAAGGCGTTATATAAATGCAAATTTGTATTGTACTATATTGTAATAAATAAAGGTGTTCGATCTTGGTTCACTCTGCAAAGAAAACAGAAGTCAAGAACAATGGTTCCAAAACCTGTAGTAACAAACTGAATTATTTTAAGGATCAATATTCCATACCTCAAAGAACTTCCCGTCACAATATTTCTGTGCTTGTGGAACATGAAAGATTTCGTCCATGTAAGGAGTCCTCTGAGCCCTGCTGATCATGGAGAAGATGATGGTGGAGACAAGGAAGTTGCTACTGACAACAGCAGAGAAACATAACTTCTCAAGGTTTTCCATCCTGACCAGGAGCTGCGCAATGAGATTCCAGGAACACAGATGCTGAACAGCAGGAACCGGGAGCTTCCGGGACAACAACAACAACAACAAAAACAGCAGGAGCCGGGAGCTTCCGGAACAACAGCAGCAGGAGCCGGGAGCTTCCGGGACAACAACAACAACAACAGCAGGAGCTGCGAGCTTCCGGGACAACAACAACAACAAAAACAGCAGGAGCCGGGAGCTTCCGGAACAACAGCAGCAGGAGCCGCGCGGGGATCCCAGGACAACAACAACAACAACAGGAGCCGCGCGGGGATCCCAGGACAACAACAACAACAGCAGCAGCAGCAGGAGCCGCGCACTCACAAAATACAGTCAATTCACTTTACAGACTATTCTGAGAAGCGCTTTGAGTCATCCGGTAGAGGTGATGAGGCGCTGTATGGAATGCCAGGATCATTATTATTATTATTATTATTATTCTGACTCCAGGACCGCGAGCTCCGGGGACTGACTGAGGAGCAGCGCGTCCGTCTGACACAATCCTCCCCCGGAACCCGCGCCACCGACAGCAGCGGCAGCAGCGCCCGAGGCTCCCTGACCCCACGCCGGAGGCCGGTGAGCGGGAATTCACATGAAGGCGGTGCGGTGCGGCGGGGAACCGCCGTGTTGGAGTTTTTTTTTATTCCCACCGATAATATTTAAAGTGTTTTCTCTCCCGTCACCGGGCGCCGGCGGCGCGGATCAGGTTGTGTGTGTTTCCGGGGGAAGGTTTAGTCTGTGGCGGCTCGGGGGCTCTTTCCTGTAAGTGTTGCAGCTCGTGTTGGGCTTTTATGGGCTCAGAAAAGCAGAAAAATGTGAAAGTGAAAAGCCAGAGATTTTATTGTTATTATTTTTTAAAAATTCTACTTAAAAGAATGAAATGACGGACCTTTGAAACACGTGACCAGAGCCTCATCACCGGGGCCGAGGCTGAGGCCGGGGCTCGGGCTGAGGGAGGGGCCGGGGTTGGGGCCGAGGCTGAGGCCGGGCTCGGGCTGAGGGAGGGGCCGGGGTTGGGGCTGAGGGAGGGGCCGGGGTTGGGGCTGAGGGAGGGCCGAGGTTGGGGCTGAGGGAGGGGCCGAGGGAGGGGCCGGGGTTGGGGTTGGGGCGGAGGGAGGGGCCGGGGTTGGGGCCGAGGGAGGGGCCGAGGGAGGGGCCGGGGTTGGGGCCGAGGGAGGGGCCGGGGTTGGGGCCGAGGGAGGGGTTGGGGTTGGGGCCGAGGGAGGGGCCGGGGTTGGGGTTGGGGCCGAGGGAGGGGCCGGGGTTGGGGTTGGGGCCGAGGGAGGGGCCGGGGTTGGGGTTGGGGCCGAGGGAGGGGCCGAGGGAGGGGCCGGGGTTGGGGCCGAGGGAGGGGCCGGGGTTGGGGTTGGGGCCAAGGGAGGGGCCGGGGTTGGGGCCGAGGGAGGGGCCGGGGTTGGGGCCGAGGGAGGGCCGGGGTTGGGGCCGAGGGAGGGGCCGGGGTTGGGGCAGAGGGAGGGGCCGGGGTTGGGGCCGAGGGAGGGGCCGGGGTTGGGGCCGAGGGAGGGGCCGGGGTTGGGGTTGAGGGAGGGGCCGGGGTTGGGGCCGAGGGAGGGGCCGGGGTTGGGGCCGAGGGAGGGGCCGCGGTTGGGGCCGAGGGAGGGGCCGCGGTTGGGGCTGAGGGAGGGGCCGGGGTTGGGGCTGAGGGAGGGGCCGGGGTTGGGGCTGAGGGAGGGGCCGGGGTTGGGGCTGAGGGAGGGGCCGGGGTTGGGGCTGAGGGAGGGGCTGAGGGAGGGGACAGTGAACCAGTCTCACAGACTCTCAAAAGGCCAACTTGACTGTTGGTAGAACAATATTCGACCTGATCACTAATTCAGCAAAGATGATTCGATGTGATTGCTGACCCCATCTCTGTAGGTTCAAGTTGTGCAAAATGGATAAACAAGTTAACTGCAGGTTCCAGACAAACTGCCACGAGCCCTTCATAAGGAGAAACGATAACACTTAAGGATAACACTCTTAACTTGTGTGCAATATGGGCAAGTTAAATTACTATTGAAATCAGCACGTTATCAGGACAGAGATTTGATCAACAACATTCACCCGATTTATTGGGATGAAGAAGGCCCTTTGGCTTATTTGATCGAATCATTCCGGAATAACACTTTCCCATCGCAGCATCAAGCTATTTCAATGGCTTAATAATTTAATAATGCTAACATCTCAAAAACCTGGAGAAGCACAAGATGGGCACAAGAACATGTTGATCGATTAAAAATGCTAAATCTTTCTTAAAATCTCCTTTCCTTCCCAGCCAGTGCTCGTTCCATGTTTAGCACGAAGGGGAAGTCTGGACCAGTACATTTCTTCTGTTTTTCTGCTGGGGAATAACTAAGACAGTATCTTGGTTAAAAAAAAGTGAAAAAATAATGATAATTCATAAAATGGAATGACTCATAAGCAGCAGTGATTTGAAGTCTGAAAATTAACTGGGAAGAAAATACTTTTCAAATATGGTTATGTTTTCCATTCCNTTTTTTAACTAGTATTGGCACGTGTGTAGCCTTGGCATCCACAATGCAATTTAGGTTTTAATTTTTTTTTACAGTCCTAATAAAACTGATATCTTGCCATTTGGGGACTCTACATAGCAATACAATTTCTTCTGTAAAGTCATTGTTTAAAATATGTTTCTCTGCTGTTGCCATAGGTATGAATTCCTTCAGAATCCTGGATTTGCTGTTTATAAATTATGAACACGATGATTATGAAACATCAGCTAGAACTGTTCCCAGGATCCACTGCAATTCTTCTGTTGTTTAAAGATGTTAAGAACGCTGCTGAACTTCGAAAGAAAGCAATAGAAGGAACGATAGGTGGAGCATTAATAAATGCAACTATGGTGAGGTTACTTATATTGAGCTTATCAGTTACAAGAATATTAAGAGGATGCTCATTTGAGCTAGTTGGATAGCTCAGAGAGATGATATAACTGCAAACAAAGCCACATGACAATAATAGGTGGAATAAATGTATTTAATAGCAGTGGGTGTTGCTTACAGAATCCTAAGTTTGGGAAAGGGAAAATCAATATTTTACTATAATTTTTGCTTCAGTTGAATAGCTTACCTACAAATATATATATTTTTAAACAGAAGACCCCAATTTGTGTGTTACTTATAATGGAATATTGTGATTTAATTTGAACACAATTTTATTATGAAATTCTAATAATGAGCTACGGTTGTAAATAACAATGTGAATGAATGGGACACTAGATATGTCTACATATATAATGGGCTTCATCTTTTTATTTGTAGGTAGTTGACCCATTTCAGATACTTGTGGCAACCAACAAAGCAATTCATTTACACAAACTGGACAAGAAGAAGACAAGAAGTCTTTATTCCGAAATTATATTTAATCTTTCACCAGGGAATAATGTAAGTTTACATTTCTAACCAGGCTAAATATGTTCAGAGCATTGTGCCATGAATTCAGGAAGAAGTTCATTTAGAAGGATATTTTTGTTCTATCATTGGATCTGTATTGCCAGAAGTAATTGTTTTGTTAGTCGTTGTGAGCACTTGATAGTAAATAACAAGAAAAGTATCTAATCTTCTTTTAATATTAACTGATTGTCAGACTCAAATTTCAAAAGTAAGTATTACAAAGAATGTATAGCATGGAAACGGACAACTCAGCTATCTGATTCAACTACTGCTTCAGGCAACGAGTTCCACAATCTTACTACCCTCTGCAAAATACACAGTCACTACATTTGACAATATTTTCTGTGAAGTGCTTTGAGATGTCTCTAAGATGTGATAAGGAGCTATATCAAATGTAAGGATAATAATTATTATTAACCAGTTTCTCCTAAATTGATTCGTAATTCTTGATTCATAACTTTAAAGTAGGCCTGAAGATAACCTATATTTCTTACAATAGTAATCTTTCAGCTAGAAACCAGTGAAGTTTCATTTTTTAAAAATCTTCAAAATGCTACTAACTAGCAGTTGAATATTTCTTTTTTTTGTTAAGATTTCAGATGCCTTCAGAAAGTTTGGAATTTCTGACGATGACTCTGCTCTCCTCATAATTCTGGTGGAGGATGGAAGAAACAAAACTAATTTAGAAGAAATTATAAATCAGGTTAAGGGACAACAAGTCTCTGTTCAGGATATCTCAACAATGACAGATGTGGCCAAAGTTAAAAAGGTTCGTAAAATGTATTCTGTAGAGAAACAGTTGTCTTGTAAGTTTATAGTATTGAAAAAAGAGTGATTACTGTATTTACAATGACACTGCAGAAACAAAGACTACATGTCAAAGAACATTTATTGCTTTGAAATAAAAGATAGAAGGGAAGACAATTCAGGTGCTTTTAGCGATTCAGCACTGCCTGTTGAAGATAAGAATCCTCTTCTTCATTTCAAACGTCATGCAACAAAACTCCTTATAACACAGCGGATCAACTTTAAGATCCTAATCCTTTACTACAAATGACTCCATGGCCTGCACAACATTCTGCTATCTCCTGTGATGACTCCTCATCATGCCCTCCGCTTTACTAACTGACCCGCTTCATTCATCCTGTCCACTCCACGATTCAGGCAAGCCATCATCCACTTTCCCTCCTCCTTCTGGAACTCTTCAAATTCCTCACCACATCCCCCTCCCCACCCCTTTCTCTACTTTCAAATCCTGCTACTTCAACTATGCTTTCGACCACATCTCCCCGCTCTATCATGTTTCCCCTCAATCTTCTCTGAGCACCAACACACTGCCATGGAGTGAAGAGCTGAATCAAAATTTGCACTGGCTGAACAGGCCTGTGAATAAATGTCTGGGATAGAGGAAGAGTCGGAAAGAGACCTCAACCGATTCTCCACCCAACTCTCTATAAAGTAACATTGACCAGTCCTGAAAAAAATGTTGCCCCCACTCCCCACCGCCATCAGGAATGATATATGGTTGGGATGGAAGGAAGATAATTCCTTAAAAGAGGTGTCTTGTTCTTACCACCAAAAATACTCAGTTTTTGAAATGTAATTGTTCTTTCCGCAGTTGTACAAAGTGTCTCCAGCAGAGGAAAACATTGGAACATTATTGGATGCAATCATTTGTCGGATGTCAGTGAAAGATGTTCTTTGAATGAAGAAAAACCCAATGATCAAGAAAGCAGTTTATATGGACTGATAGTTTGTTTATATACAAGCAAGATAGCATGTGTAAACAGGAAAACTTGTCTTCCACTTTTGTCTGCTCGATGAGCATTTTTCTTCGCATATTTATGTATTAACACTGTCAGTTGCAAAGAATTTTAAGCAGTTGTAAAAGTACGAGTGTTTGTAAATAAATCTGTAAAAAAACAAAAGGAAAAATATAGTAATAGGGATTGTGGAAAATGTTTTAGAAAATTGCTGTTCAGGCAGCAGAATGGTCACAGACTGAATAGCGTTCTGAAGTATTGTGCCAAGGTAAAGCAGTAGATCGCATATTTGCAACAACAACTTGCATTTATATAGAGCCCCTCATGCAGAGTAGCAACCCAGAGCACTTGACAGTGGTGGTGCATGACGCCGAACCAGGGGGTGGGGAATGTGACCGTAGGCACAGTTGAATAGGAAGGAGTGACCTGAAAATGGGGACAGAAGGAGCAAGATGGAGAAATAGAGGAAGAGTGATCCAGAGTTTCGGGGCATAGTGGCTGAAAGTGCAGCTACCAATGACAGAATGGTGGGCATGGGGGACATGCAGGAGGCCAGAGCCAGTCAAGCGGAGGCTGTGGGTTGGGGGGTAAGTAGATTGGAGAGGTAGGGAGGTGCCAGCCAGTGCATGAAGGGATTTGAAAACGATAATAAATACATTTATTAATTCTGCTATTGGTAAATGTATGGACCTTGGCAGGTAAAACCATCAAATCCTCTGCAGGTCAGTGTGTTCAAATATTGAGATACATACACACAATTACATTTGACTTGACAATAACTCTAAAATGCTTTGAGATGGGGATGGGATAGAGCACTGTAAAATGCAACTTTCCTTGTGGTGATAAGTATCTCACAGTGTGGGGCTGGGGGGGCTTAGAAATTGTGCCATACACACTCCATGTCAAATAAACACTAGCCTCCACCTGGTAGGTTTATTGTTTTGATTAGTTTGCGGCACATAAATAATTTACAATTTGGGCCAAATCCCAGAACCGAGAACGAAACAATGCAGAAACCCAACTTTCCCATTAATCATTCACCCTGTTATAATAATAATTATGTGTAAATGTCATCATGGACATGGAGCACATTGAATAAATAAAAGTGGAATCAACCACTTGAAGGACTATATATGAATCCATGTGATTTTATAATTTAAAGATTTTTTATTGTTTAAAGATCAAGCAGCATAACTTTTACTCATTGAATAAAGTAAACGAAGAATCAGAGCTCCACACACAAGAATGGTTGAACACAGAAGGTAATCCTTGCATTTCATATAGCAATTGTAACATCTCGATGTGAAGTTGTGGGAAATGCTGCAGCCAATTTGCACATAACCAGATCCCACAAACAGCCAAAACTAAGTAAAGCTGCAGCATTGTTGGCCACAGGACACCGGGAGGAGCGGCCATCCGTTCTCCTCTTTGAATGTGACATCTTTAGAGCAGCAGGTGCTTACTGCTCTGCAAACCAATCAAGGTGGACGCCAAGCCCTGGATGTCTCGACTCGTCTTCACGAACCCGGACTCCAGGTAACACCTTCCAGCAGTTGAGCTCCAAAAGACTCATCATTTCCTTATTAGCAGCTGGAGGGACACCTGCCCTCAGGGTGGTCACAGGTGGGAAGACCTTTTAAGGACAGCGACTACAACTCCCAGGATGCATTGCCAGACCAGGCGCATGTGCAGTGGTGTAGCCAACCACGCAGAGAGGCCTCGTTCAAAACTCTCCAATCAGCAACCAGACTGTGTCACGTGATACGGTTAAAACCACTCGCTTCGCTTTCCACAATTTAAATTTAGCGGCAGCGCGAGAGCAGCAACGGTCAGTGATCAGTGCGCGTTATCAGTGAGTCCAACACCGGGTCCACAGACCTCAGTGGAGACACAACGAGAAAAGGGGCAGCGGCCCAGAGGGGCCCGACACCCGGAGAGAAGCGGCCGCCCCTGAGCAGGTGTTGCTGTCGGCTGACCGGCTGAGGGTGAGGGAGGGTTGGCGGCGTCTTTACCCCGAGCCGAGCGGTTCACATGTCGGGTTCTACCAGTAGTAAATATTCCGTACATTTTGATATAGCGACTTATCGCGTGGTCGAGGCGTCTCAGAGTACTTTTAGAGAGAGAGAGAGGGAGAGAGAGAGCGCGAGCAGTGGTGCAGCGCTGACAGGAGTGGGTGGGACTGGCGCCCCATCCCCCAGAGGTGGAGTGAAAAATCCTCCTCCTCACCCTCAAGACCCTACACAGCCTCGCGCTCTCCTCCCTCCGTGACCTGCTGACCCCATCCCAACCTCTCCGCGGTAGCGGGAGCCGGGGGGGGGGGGGGCTGTGTGAGCGGGGTAGGGGGAGCCGGTGGGGTGGGGGGGGCTGTGTGAGCGGGGGGCTGCGTGAGCGGGGGGGGGGGGCTGTGTGAGCGGGGGGGGGGGGCTGTGTGAGCGGGGGGGTAGGGGGAGCCGGTGGGGTGGGGGGGGGCTGTGTGAGCGGGGGGGGGGGGCTGTGTGAGCGGGGGGGGGGCTGCGTGAGCGGGGTAGCGGGGGGGGGGCTGTGTGAGCGGGTAGCGGGGGGGTTGTGTGAGCGGGGTAGCGGGGGGGGGGCTGTGTGAGCGGGGTAGCGGGAGCCGGGGGGGGGGGGGCTGTGTGAGCGGGGTAGCGGGTGGGGGGGCTGTGTGACCGGGGTAGCGGGGGGGGCTGTGTGAGCGGGGGGGGGGGAGGGGGCTGTGTGAGCGGGGGTAGCGGGGTGGGGGGGGGCTGTGTGAGCGGGGGGGGGGGCTGTGTGAGCGGGGTAGCGGGGGGGGCTGTGTGAGCGGGGGGGGGGGAGGGGGGGCTGTGTGAGCGGGGTAGCGGGGTGGGGGGCTGTGTGAGCGGGGGGGGGGGGGGGCTGTGTGAGCGGGGGGGGGGGGGGCTGTGTGAGCGGGGTAGCGGGAGCCGGTGGGGGGGGTAGGTCCTGGACCGTTTCGTGAGCTGATCGTAACTAGAAAACAACAGCAACAAAATTCCATAGCAGAGCCACGACATTTGACGCTAACCTGGTTTAGAAGGTGGGAGTGGAGCATTAGTTTCTCATTGCAGGAGATGATTGGTTTCTACAGAATTCTTAACAGCCATATGAACAGGTAGAGGGGACCTCAGATTAACATCTCTTCCAAAGGACAATGGGATAGGCTCAAAATTGGGGACAGGAGTTGAGTGAAAAATCTAATGGAGGCCATCAACATTTAAGGGGATAGCGAAAGATTGTTCCTGTTGGTCAGCATTGCCATTGGGAGAATTGACAGCGAAAATTAAAGGACACTTTCATTCCGGATGAGTTTAGGATGTGGAATGCTTCACCACAAGTAGTTACTGAAGCTTAATAAATAGGTAAAATAGTAAATGCTAAATGGTTTCCTTCTGTATTGTAATTTCTATGTTCTACTATATTATCTACACAATCTGCCAATTTATAGTTGCATCTAAGTAAAGCTGAAGATTTTTGTGGTATTTAAAAACTTATTTGAATGTTTTAACTGAAGAAAAATAGTAGCTTGTATTTTACAGAAATATGCGAAGAGCATATAAGCATCAGTTATTTTTTTATTTGAGTTTTAGTTTCAAAAACAGGAACTCTTCAAGCTTGGTTTCCATGGAGTATAGCAATAAAGAAATGGATTTGCAACCTGACATTGGTAAGCCACGATTTTTATAAATTGCATCAGACAGTGTATTTATGCAATATATTGAAGAATTTCCACCAGAGTTATATGATTTATGTGTGTCCTTTTGTACAAAAAAATGTAAGATTTGTCTCTTAACCCTTGCATATATGAATGGGAAGAGGAAGGTAGATAGTGATTTATCTCCTACTGTTTTAAAATCGATCCCTTCTTGTTCTGGGAAATGAGATTACATTTTGAATTCAGATCACGCATTTGTTAGCAACTAATCTGTTCAGACCTTTGTTCAGAATTTTTTTTAGTTGCTGAAGTTTAAAAGGCTTTGTGCTTGATTAATCAGATGTATAATTTGGAGTGCTTAGATTAGGCTCTTCATCTTTTCTGTGAAAATTACTTTGAGAATATTGTTACCTTATATCTTCTGCTATTAGATGCTTCTGATGCACTTAGAGTTTAGCTTCATGAGGAACCTGCTGACCTCTGTAGTTTGGAAAGCTAATATTTTTTTAACCAGGTGAACAGTAGCAGACTGTTAGTACACATTAAATATGCAAACGTTTTGCAATGTTTGCTTCAAATCAGTAAGGTTTTTTTAAGCAATGGAATACCACTAACTACTAGATACTGCTACAAAATTCTTGCTATTTTTAGAAACTTATACTTGTGCTTGTCCAGTTTTGGCTGTGGAAGACTGAGAAATTGAGCGAGAGCTATCAGACCGAAATTGTGCTTCTGGGAGGTCCTGATTGATGGTCCTGTGTGCATCTGAGAAATAGAACTGCAATGTTACTTTTGGAAGTGGAACCTTCACACAACCCTTCACTGAGCCAGCCAGGAGCCTAGGCGTCTTGTTTGGCCCTCAACTGTCCTTTCTTCCCCACATCTGTGCCATGACCCACTCTACCTTTTCTCACCTCCACAACATCGCCCAGCTCCGGCTCTGCCTCACCGCTCAGGCCGTGGAATCATTATTCATCACATCTAGGCTCAACTACGTCAACTCCCTGCTTGTCAGCCTTTCCAACTCTTGCCTCCACAAGCTGCAGATCATCCAGAACTATACAGCTTGTGTCCTCTCCCGCACCAGACTCCTTGATCCCATCACACCCACCCTCTCTTGGCTCACCATCTCTCAGAGGATAGAGTTCAAAATGCTTGTCCTTGCCTTCAAGGCCTTCCATGGCCTTGCCCCTCCCTACCCCTGCTAACCCCTTATCAACCTGTCTCCCCTCTCTGCTCAGCAGTCTGTAGCCTGCTCCCCATCCAGCTCGCCACTCCGCCGGCAGTCAAGCCTTCAGCCTCTCCGCCCCTACCCTTTGGATCTCCATCCTGCATTCCCTTTGCCTCGCTCCCTCCCTTGGCTCCTTCAAGGCACGTCTCAAGACCCTCCTCTTTGACCATGCATTTGGCCGCCTCCTGCCCTCCACTCTCGCTTACCCAAGCCCTCACCCCCTCTCAAAATGTACCTCTTTGACCATGCTTTCAGTGCAGTGAATAAAAAGTAGGGGAGCAGGCACAGTACAATTTTGAACTCTTTGTAAATTTCAGTCACTGGCAGCACATATCAATCTGTCCGCTCCCTGCGCTCGGCAGGCCTGCTCCATATTCCCGGTCCAGCCTGCCCCCCCTTCGGCCACCAACCCACCCCTCTCCTGAACCCACCCCTCTCCTGAACCCACCCCTCTCCTGAACCCACCCCTCTCCTGAACCCACCCCTCTCCTGAACCCACCCCTCTCCTGAACCCACCCCTCTCCTGAACCCCCACCCCTCTCCTGAACCCACCCCTCTCCTGAACCCACCCCTCTCCTGAACCCACCCCTCTCCTGAACCCACCCCTCTCCTGAACCCACCCCTCTCCTGAACCCACCCCTCTCCTGAACCCACCCCTCTCCTGAACCCACCCCTCTCCTGAACCACCCCTCTCCTGAACCCACCCCTCTCCTGAACCCACCCCTCTCCTGAACCCACCCCTCTCCTGAACCCACCCCTCTCCTGAACCCACCCCTCTCCTGAACCCCCTCTCCTGAACCCACCCCTCTCCTGAACCCACCCCTCTCCTGAACCCACCCCTCTCCTGAACCCACCCCTCTCCTGAACCCACCCCTCTCCTGAACCCACCCTCTCCTAACCCACCCCCTCTCCTGAACCCACCCCTCTCCTGAACCCACCCCTCTCCTGAACCCACCCCTCTCCTGAACCCACCCCTCTCCTGAACCCAACCCTCTCCTGAACCCACCCCTCTCCTGAACCCACCCCTCTCCTGAACCCACCCCTCTCCTGAACCCACCCCTCTCCTGAACCCACCCCCCCTGCCCCCTCTCCTGAACCCACCCCTCTCCTGAACCCACCCCTCTCCTGACCCCACCCCTCTCCTGACCCCACCCCTCTCCTGACCCCACCCCTCTCCTGACCCCACCCCTCTCCTGACCCCACCCCTCTCCTGACCCCACCCCTCTCCTGAACCCACCCCTCTCCTGAACCCACCCCTCTCCTGAACCCACCCCTCTCCTGAACCCACCCCTCTCCTGAACCCACCCCTCTCCTGAACCCCCCCTCTCCTGAACCCACCCCTCTCCTGAACCCACCCACCCCTCTCCTGAAACCCACCCCTCTCCGGAACCCACCCCTCTCCGAACCCACCCCTCTCCGGAACCCACCCCTCTCCGGAACCCACCCCTCTCCGGAACCCACCCCTCTCCGGAACCCACCCCTCTCCGGAACCCACCCCTCTCCGGAAGCCACCCCTCTCCGGAAGCCACCCCTCTCCGGAAGCCACCCCTCTCCGGAAGCCACCCCTCTGCCCCTTCTGATCCCAGCTCTCCTACCCGGGTCCAAATTTCTCACTGTCTAGCGCCTTGGGATGTCTTGACATGGAAGGCGCTATATAAATATAATTTTTTATTGTGTATTTGTGGAAATTTCAAAGTAGGATCAGCAATGTTTTTGTTTTTTCAGATTTAAATCTTTTGTCTGAAGAGAAATTTGACTTTGACTCTGACATTCTATTATCTCCTACAAGGTAAGGATTTTCAGTGGTAAAGCTAGAAAACCGAATTGATAATACTTATCAATTACTTAGAAACGTAGAAATGGCTTCCTCCATTTACAAGTGAAACATACTGTCATCCATCACTTTTTTAAAAAAACACTTGATCATGTTGTTTTACAAGCACTTTAAGCCATTGTGCTGCTTTATGTTCAAGTAGTATGATCATAAGCTGTTCCTGTAACTAAACTCAATCAAACTGCTCCAGCTCCTGAATGTTACTGGGTGGCCTAAAATTATTTTAAAACCTATTTCATTATTTGTCATTATATACTTCAAAAAAAATAACCCATTGCTTGTAATCCTATTTTAAAAAAATAGTAATGAAGGTTCTGACATATACCAGCTACCAATAATTTTATTTTTCTGATTAATAAAGTTGCTAGGTAACCTTGAGAAAGTAATCACTCAGATTGTGGAAATTATGGAATCCAAACATTTGAAGCTACATCCATTGTACTAACAATGTTTTGCTGCACATTTAACAAGATTTTTGTTTGCTTGCAATTAGCCTGTAAACTCCAATCCTAAACTAGCAGTTTTGTTTTACTAGTGATAAAAGTGATGAAGATGAAGTATTTATTGGGCCACTTGGACATCTGGAAAAATGCATTGCAGTTGCCATTGATCTCAACCTTGAAGAGAAGAAGCCAAAAGAAACTATTTGGAACCCTATTAGTGCTGACAAGCTTGATGATGTCTTTAGAGAAGCCAATTTATTAGCACAACAGTATGAAAAGCATATTGATCAGAAAACCACAAAAAAGGAGAGTAAAAGGATACAAAACAAAATGGTGGAACAATTTATTGAAGAATCTCAAATAAAGCTAAATTGTTTTAATAAGGGTATTGATATCCCTATCACCCCAAGAAGAGAAGCCATTGTTGTTCAAGATAGTCCACAGAAGCAACTCATATCTTCTGTCCCAGAGAATTCTCATACTTGTTGTACAGACCATGATCTCCCATTAGAATCTTTTATGAAAGGTGCTGTTCAGGAAACCAAGGCATCTATGCAGCCAATAAATGGAAGTGCAAGCCAGTCATCATTGGGTAAGATTGAAGGAGCTTCTTTTGATGAGAACAGAGGTACTACAGAACAAAAAACTCTACTTGGTGAATCTTTAAAATGTGGAACAACCAAACACTTTACTGAAAAGGTAAGTGATTTTATAGCTTTTGGTAAACTTGGCCATTTCATTTTAGAATATGAGATGTGTGCTTCAGGTTTGAAAATACCACGCCTTCTGTTAAATGATTTGTAACCTGTATTTCAGAAAGTGGGTGCTGAACTGTAAGCAGTAAGTCTAATACTGAATTAAAGTTTTACTTATTTTACAGTCATTGTGGATAAAACATTTCTTGGTTCTTATCCCTTCAGTTCAGCCAGGGCCAGGATTGCAAACAATCTACTATTTAACCCCTACTTTCTGCCTATTGGACCTTTCCTCACCCAACTCCCCTTCATACCTTTCCAAATGCTTCAGATAATAATAATAATAATAATCCTTGCATTTGATATAGCGCTTTTCACGTCGGGAGGACGTCCCAAAGTGCTTCACAGAACACACCTGTAAAGTGAATTGTCTGTATATGTGTGGGCGAACGCGGCAGCCAATTGCGCACAGCAATGTCCCACAAACAGTCGTGGATTGAAAATGACCAATTTATTATTTTGTTTTTTTGGAGGGATTATTATTAGGCGTGTGGAGTAAGGAAACTTGCCCAAGGTTTCGCCCTGCCTGGAATTGAACTCAGGTCTCTCGCTTACAAAGCGAGTGCTCTAACCACTGAGCTACAGGACTCCACAAGATGTCTGCATCTTGTCTGTGCTATCAGATGCCCATTCATTGGGTGGGTGGGGTGGTCTTCTGACAATTACAATTGCTTCTATTGTATATAGTTTGGTCTACGCAAGAGTTTGGGACCGAAACCTCCAGGCTGTATGAAAAGAAGCAATGCTGGAATAATAAAGACTGTTAATGTTGCTTCATCTACATCTAGTCTAAATTCTAGTCTTCATGCTTCCCCTGCTGTTTGTAAAGGTAGGTTGTATTTTCATTCTTCATGTTTTTGTACCTGTAGCTTGGGTATGTCAGAATGCCTTTTGTTGTATGTGTCAAAATACAATCTGAATTTACATGCACCTTAAAATACTTTCAAGTGAGCTTTTTAGTTATGAGATTATTGATGACTATTTCCTTTAGGAAATGTGATTTTTTTTAAAAAAAAGTATCCAAATGTATTTTTTCCCCATTTACTTTATAACTCTTCACCTAGTCCTCAACTGTCCTAGTCATGTTGTGTCCGGTATCCCATTCAAGTGGCCATTGTTCATTTGTGATCCTTGGCAAGCCACTCGACTGAGACAGTGTCATGAGCCGGACTATTCCTCGACCAGTTACCACATATGTACACTACCAGTTGAGGATGCTGTAGAGGAATGCTTCACCATAACTTTGGGAAACCCTGGTGCCATTTTAGTCTTCCCAAGCAGCTCCACCTGAGACCAGAAAATTCAACTCTGGCAAGGGTTCCATTTGGACCAGTGGGCTTGTCTAAGAAGGTCTATCCACTAAACTATTGCGCTACCCCATTGTTTTATTTTGTTGTATGTATTCTCTTGATTGAAATACCAGTTGTGTAGGAATAGAAGTAGCACATCCATTTAGTAATTGAGCTAGCATGTATAGTAGTTGAAATAGAGTCTGTAAAAGTCCTACCTACAGTCCACTATGGATATAAAGTATATAAAATATTTGGATTAAGAATAAACTTGCTTTTGGTATTTGTGTGGAAGGGACTAAGAGTGTAGAATTGAGTACCCTATTGTGTCTTGAATGCTTTTCACACACTGTGAAATTGTGTTCCTTGAGCACAATTGTTTGTAAAAGGTAATTTAATTTCTAGACAATGCCTCGAGTTTTCACCTTTATTTTCTTGCTAAAATCATTTTTGTCTTGCAGTTAATACATCGTTAAAATCATCAAAACTGAAAGCCCCCAACAGCAGTAAGCTTGCTGCACCAACGAGCAAATTGTCTAATTCTACACAATCAATAACCAAGGATATTCCAAACTCAAAATTAATCAAACCAAGTACATGTAAACTGACTAATCTTGGAAATGCAATCCAGCAAGAATCAGGCATTCAGACTCCATCCAGTAAATGCTTACAAAGGATTAGTTCTGTGCCAAATATAAAAGTTAATGCTAAGGTCAAACAGAATAAGTCTGGTAACTCATTCGGGAAAGATTTGTGCCCCAAGTCTAAACCATCTTTTGTACCTGCACCTAATTCCCAGGCTTTAAGAAAATACAGTGGTAAGAAACCTTAAATGTTCATTTGAGAAACTATGTTCAATCTGGATAAAATTTGAAACAAATGTATCTAATATTAGCTGTACCATTGCAGCTACGCTTGCAACCAAAGGAACCAAGATGTAGATTGACACATAGACAGACATGTTTATCTATACTCATCTGGGAGGACTCATGTGGGAGGACTTTTCTTCAGTTTCATTTAATGGGCCTTCTCTCTTTTGTCTAGCATTTTTATTTATCCTTGAAAGGTTTGATTTTCGCTTAGGCATCTTTATAATCTATACTAATAAAACAACAGTGTCAGTGTATCTGACAATCACGCAATAACCGATTGACGTAGAGACACGATTTGTACCTCATCGGAAAGTTCTTGAATCTGGCGGTGTTATGAACATTTTTTGCGGATATCTCCTATCATTGATGAGCTATTTTAAAAATTAAGCCCCAAATTAGGTGTCCTAAATCATCATCTTTGTTAATCGGTGAGTATAATGTCTAAACGTCTGTCTGTGTCAAACTGCACTCCATTTTAAATCCTTTGGTTGTAGGTAAAGCTGCAATGGGTACAGTCAATGATGAATATGAATGTATAATTTATAATCACTGGGACATCCAGTGCTTCAAAAATGTAATTTTGTTGTTGCTGCGGCTTAGCTTTGTCTTTATTTTGTTCCCATTGCTTGGCAATGTGCATGCTCGACACAGGATGCCACAGCGCCACTGTCAGTTGGCGCGGTCACCATGTAACTGCAGTGTGTGTGTGTACATACGTAGGTGTTCTGTGACGCATGATGCCACGGCGCCATATAGACATGGCGGCCATCCACATGTAACTGCAGGGTTTAAAAAAAAAAAGAAAACTGAAATAACCTAAACAATAGGAGATACCCAAAAACAAATATGCCTATGTCACCCCCAGGTACAAGACCTTTCTGATGATGTATAAATCATGTCTCTACATCAAGCGGTTATTGAGATCCTTCTTGAAGCACAGGCAGACATTGTTGTTTTATCAGTATAGATTAATGGTTTAATATGCAATTTAGTGTAGACTCTTTGAAGGAAAAGTTAGTTTGATTACATCAAGTCTGATGTAATCTAGTACTTTGATGCAAGTCTCCAGACAACCAAGTAGCGACCTGCAATTTGCATGTGTAATTTCGGGATTTGTATTCAATAGAGATTAATATTGGGGCAGCAATTAAAGGTGAGTTGCAAACTGTTCAAAAATATTCCTTCATTAAGTAGTTGACCACAAATTGATTGTGGCACATGTACAGAGGAAAATAGAGGTTAAAATTTAGCAAAAAGAAAAGTAATTCATAAATTGACTGGCTTGTTCATCCCAAAGCAGTCAACATGATTTGGTGAATGTGTCAGGGGATAAAAGCCCTCCTCTTGACAGATGGTGCAAAGAATTGTCTCATTTTTAGTGTCCGAACTGTTCCAGGGTGGTTAACAGTTGGTTGCTGAACAGAGGTGGTTGCTTGAACAGATTTGATTGCAGTCGGAACTAGAAAGCTTGCTGGTTAGGAATAGGTGTAGGCCATTTTGTCAGTTGATCCTGTTTTGCCATTTTATTGTGTGGGAGATCTTTTAATCAATTTCTTTGCCTTTTCTCTATATCCCTTTAATGCTTCTTAGAAATGTACTTTTTAAACTGTTGAAGTACAAAATTACTCATTAATGTACTGTAAGTAAGGATCTATTTCCTCTTCTGTTCTGCAAATATTTTTTATTCAGAAGAAATTTCTGTTATGTTTATTGGTTAGAAGAAAAGTGCCATTATACATGCACTCTTAAGTGTCAAAAGGAAAGTGAATTATGTATCTTAGCAACGTGCTTTTTTTACTAATCCATTTAGCACCTTTATCTGAAACCAGACCGAAGATAATGCAACCCAAGAGACTGTTGTCTTGTTCTGCAGTTGTTGGGTAAGGAGAGTTTTTCTGGGCAACAAAATATAAATGTTTGCTGTATTTATATACTCTGCATTAAACTTGAAGTGTAATGTTTTATCTAAAGTGCAAAAAGCTTTATGTTATACTTGTTTTAAGACCAAGCTTCAAAATCGAGAAATGTTTTAGGGGCAATTTGTTCCCCAGTAACAGTCCCCAAAAGTAAATGAACATTATCCTGGCCAGTCATGTCAGGAGTGGAGGAGGGTGCAATAGTGTTATGAAGATTCACAAGTAAAACTGCCTGGCAAACACTGGTGAATGACCAACTAGAATTTTTGGGGAGAGTGAGGAAAGAGATGGTGGCAAAACTCTGTTTAAGTATATTTAGGCTTGCCTAGATATGGTTAAAAAGGGTACATTTTATTCTTGCTGTGTTCTGCAATCTGCCGCAGATGATTTTTTTTAGTCTGGTGTTTCAAGTTCATAGTGCATGTGTAGTATACCCGGTGGCCTGTGAGATTGACTATGTACAGTTAGTTATCAGGTATTGAGTTTGCAACGCGAGTCTAAATGTACTCGTCAACTGGCAAATGTGAAACAGCTGGTACCTCACTAAATATTTGAAAGAAATTAACTAATCCTTATCAACCTCAATTTAATCTTTGCCAAATACAATTGTAGAACCCATTTTGCTGATTTTTTTTTCTTAAGGACTGGCTGGCATCTTGAAATCCGAAACATATGGATAAGAATATTACATGGTTGAGTCCAAAACAACTTTGAGACATGACTCTTCAAATAATTTCATTCCATGCATTCCGTTCATTCCTTGAACATGTGGGGTTTATGGTTTCATAGATTGAGCTTAAAAAATGTACAGCTATATTAAAGTAGCTGAATATTGTGGATTTACATAACCTGACATTTGGGTCCAGTCATATTTTGAAATGGAAGTTCACTTTTGAGGACTATTTCTGGGGATCAAATTGCCCCTAAAATCACTTCTTGATATTGAAGTTTAGTCTCAAAACAAATAAATTTAAAGCTTTTTGCAGTTTAGGTAAAACAATGTAGTAATTAAAGTTCTTCACAAACAATAATTAAGTCTTAGCCTACCTCTTCATATTGTCTTACATGTTGCTTTTTAACTTGCCATTAAATCTTTTCCCAGTGTCAGTATACCAGCTAGTACTCCAAACAAACTTCTATTGAGAGGAATGCTTCAAACACCCACTATTCCAAACCAACCTGTTTCAGTTACACCTAGTTCAAGACGTCTGTCTGTTCTCCCTACACCAGTGAATCGCCGTTTGTCGGGTATTCCAGCATTTACTCCACGATCACAATCGCGACCTCGATTGTCATCAAACCAAACTATGGTTTTGACAAATTGCAGTATGTCAGCCAGCAAAGATGTTCTGGCAAGGTGAGAAAACATGGTGATCATGGGAATGCCGTGTTCTCAATCTTATTTGAAATATGCCTATTTGTGTATTTTAATATTTGCAATTGATATAGTTCATATAAGTCTGAAAGGTGCTTCAGTGAATTGTCAAATGTAATGACTATTTCTTGGTCAATGTTATAGCAATGTCCTATACATAAATCAATAAGGCTGGAGGATTATTGACCAGAATACTGTAAGGAATTCATTTTTGAAATGTGTTGTCAGATCTTAATATCCATTCACTGGGCAGGCAAGATCCCAGTTTAACATCTCATTTGTTCCCCAGTAAAAGAGCTTTATCCTGGCCAGGTGACACCTGTGACAACGCAGTACATCCTTAGCACTGCATTGGTGTTGACCTCAGCTAAGCTTTGCATCCCAATCTAGATGTATAGAGTCTCTGGGTTCTTCTTGCTTTTCCAAAAATAGTTGTTTAATTTGGTTGATAGCTCACAAAAATTAAAACTATTTTTCTGATAACTGGTACTCCATATAAATTGGATATTGTACAAAATTAATTTCAAACCCCATGTCAGGACTGTAAATTCGGTCAGGCTAACACTCCAGTGGAATGCTGTTAGAGCACTATTAATACTTTTAACCAGTTAAAATTTATTTTAATAACCTTTGAGTTTGATTTATATTTCAGAATCCAGTCAGTCTTGTTAAATCAATGCATTAGACTTTTGCAGGAACTTCGAAGTATTCACTTATTTTAAGTGTCAGCTGTATTATTCCATTTTGTTGGTTAAAATAAACCAGCTATGATGGAGTCCAAAATTAGATGAAAGGCTAATGTATCATCTTTTGTTGTTATTTAGGCTAAAGTGAAAGTTTAATGTTTTCATTGTGAAATCATTAAAATAGGTTAGCTTTAATTAGACTATTTTAGGTACTTCCCAAAGATTGGATCGGCATTATTTAACAGCCCTAACTACTTTGAGGGGAAAAGTCTGGATTCTTCTCTTCCTCAATTGTCAAATAACCTGATCAATGAAATGTTGCATCCTAAATGGGTTGTACCAAAAAAAAGGTTGTACCTTTTGTCACATTTTAAAATATTCTCTATAAAAGTTGCTTAGATTGAATTCTTCCATGCATGTAGACTACAAATCAAGTAGCTTTAGAAGTGTTAAAACTTTAATAGAAATGGAGCACATTTTTTTTTTAAGTTAATCTTCAGTTTAATTTTGGTTGAGTCCATTAATTTTATTGTACATAACAGTACCAAACGGAAACAGCAAGACAACGCACAGGCTCCTAACATATCCGATTACTCCTCTGGAGAAGACACGCTACCACTAGTTCCTTGCTCTCTGGATTTCTTCCCTGATGAGGTTCAGGCCATATGCCAGGAGACAGCCAATGAGGTTCAGGCCATATGCCAGGAGACGGCCAAAGAAGTTCCAGCTGAAATTCAACATATAAATGAGGTGTGAAGGGACAAGGTGTTGTTCTGTGGGAAGATGTTTTTAAAAGATATTTAAGAAGTTAAAATTTAGAAGCAACAAACCTATTTCTGACTGCAGTTAACTTGTTATCCAAGCAAATACTTTTAAATGGTTATCTATAATTAACACTCTATATTGTATTTGAATCAAATTCTATGCCAAAACGCTATAAATTCTATCTGAGTTGCTTTTGATTTTTGCTAAAGCCTGGGGGGAAAAGGGTGGTCCATATTAAAGAAACTTTAATTAATAATTTTTTAAGTTAATCATCACTGATGTGAATGTCTCTACATTAAGAATCTCCACTATTGTTTAGCAAACCTCTGCAGCAATTAGACTCACACCAGATAAATATAGTTGGTCCAATATAAGTGTCTTGTAAGTGGATGGGACTGAGTGATATTGCTGCTTTTTCATTCATCTTAATGGTACAACCTTTTTTTTCCAGAATCTTCTAGTGGATTTAGAAGTTAACACAAAATATGAGCAAATTGAAGACCGACCAGTGGAAGTTGAGACAAAATGTGTGCAGGTTGAAGACCGACCACTTATTGACTTCTCAAATACTCCTGATCTTATCAAACGTGTTGCATTGAAACCTGTTGAACAGGTAAATTACATTGGCCTACAAAACAACAAACTACATTTGTATAGTGCCTTTCAAGTTGTCATAGTGCATATTAACCTCTTTTAGACATTAGATAAAGCATCTGCAATAATACTGATTAATCACCTTTATAGTTTTGGTTCAAACCTATTTTTGACTAATAATTCTACTTTAGCTTATAGATCTCAGCTCTCCTTTGATCAAGTTGAGTCCTGGAAACAAGGAAAATGTGAATTTGGACTCCCCTTTACTGAAGTTCTGAATGGACCTCTATTAAATTTTGACAGCAACTATACATTCTACTCTGACTGGATCAGCCTTGAGCTTCAAACTATTACTATCAGTTATACAGAATATTGTATACTTTTGGTTATGCTATAAACTACAATTGCCTTTTTGCTAGAAAGTGAGTTGCTTTGAAATAGATGGCTAATGTATCTTCCTTTTGTATTGTATATAAAATCAATTAATAATCCTGCACTTACTACTACCATCTTCATGGGATTCTTGGTTACTTTGCAAAATATAAAGTTTCAAAATCACTAAAACATACTGTTTTAAATAAATCAAGTCCTGCTCATCGATGTGAATAACTGAAAAAATTATTTCACATAGACTTCTCAAGATACGTGACACAATGCCTCAGCCATTTGCATACTATAAATTAGTGTACAGATTTTTAGTGTAATATCTGTCAGTTGTATTTGTGCTCAAATTGAATTATGGATTGTAATGAATGTTTCCAGTAAACTTTGAGCAATACCTTGGTCTTAAATGAAGTTCATTACAGAATACTGTCAAATAAGTGTTCAATTGTTCAATAAGTGCTACTTATGTGTACGATTAGGAAAAGATTTAATTGCAACTTAGAATAAATCAAATAAAATTTGTTTCTGTTGATCCTCGACTGTGTAGTCTCACATCTGAAGGTACATGACCAGAACTTTGTATTGCAATTGTAAACTTTAAGAATACAGGTTTGGATCTTAAGTGACATGAATAGATTTGAGTTACAGCCTCTATTTATAGAATTTTAAGCACAGTACTCAAACTTCATGTGTGAGATTTCTGCTATGTGACCTTTGAGTGAATTTCTCCTTATAAAATGTAAATTCTTAAAACCCATCATGGGAAGGTTCACTCAATAATACTTTCTTCAGCTTTGTTCAGATCCTCCACAAGCCATATTCTTCCAAAGACCATATTCTATTTTGTTATAAAAACAGAAGTTGATAGAAACACACAGCAGGTCAGGCAGCGTCTATGCAGAGATGGAAGTGAGTTAATCTTTCAGGTCAATATATAGTTATTAATCGATGGGGAGATCGCTTTTCTGGAGGTAATAAGTAAAATGAACTTTGAGCAAAGTTGGTCATGGACCTGAAACGTTGACTCACTTTCCTTTCTCCACAGATGCTGTCTGACTGCTGAGTGTTCCCAATCACTTCTGTTTTTGTTTACTGATTCCTAAACAGTTAAGTTCTCATCGACCCTTTTTTTTTTTGACGTGGGAACTTCTGCACCTCGGAACCCTGAGTCCCGGTGGGCGGAGTTGGCTGTCCTGCCGGACCGATGTGTGTGGTGCACACGGTCTGGCCGGGCCGGGCCGGGCCGGACCGCCTCGGGTGTGACACTAACCGCTCGGGCTGTGTCTGCTGGAGGCCGAGAGGGCGCAGTGCGCGGCACATGGCGGTGGGATGCGGCGTGTTGTGTGCGCTCTGTCGGGAGGGGTGGACAGCGCGGTGGCGGCTCTGCTCCTCACACGCAAAGGTCGGTTTACACGGCGCTCCCACACTCGCTCTCAGCCTCTCACTGGTCGCGGTGTCACAGCCGGAGATCCCAGAGCCCGTCCCTCTCTGAAGGTTTCTGCTGAATATTATTAATGAGCCTTTCACCTCCAGAGGACGTCTCGAAAGTGTTTCACACCCATATCTTATCCAATGTAGTGACTGAGTTGTGTGGGTGAGAGTGGCGACCAATTTGCTCACAATAATGGCCCACAAACACCACCTCAATACCTGGTGTCAGCGGCGTGTTACACGGTGCCAGGTTTGTCAGGTGGGTGGGTTGGTGTCTGCACTCACAGACAGACAGACAGACAGACTGACTGACTCCTAATTGTTGGATGACATTGTTGGCTTCAGTGACCTCTGATGGGAAGAACATGTGTTTGTGGGGCTCAGTTCAGGAATCCCAGGACCACTGGCTGAGATGACACATAATATTATTAATAATAATAATTATTATTATTACTGATTGAATAATGCCACGGTCTGGGTTTGCACTCCAATAAGTGATATTTAGATGAAGTATTGGAGAGCTACTGGCAATTGTGGTCTTGCATCTAAACATTCATTGATCACCAACAAAATACACAGTCACTACACTTTTAAAATCTTGAAAATTGTGTTGAGACCTCCTGATATGAAAAGTGCTATAATAAGTGCAAGGGTTATTAATTATTGGTTTCAGAAGAGGAAGGAATGGTTGCACATGAAGTGCAGTACAGTAAACTCCAGGGTTACTGGGTATCTGGAGTTTCAGCCTCAAATCAAGAATTTTTAAAAAATTTCTATGAGACGGTGCGTAGACTCTCGTTAACCCAACTCTTCTACCACACGCCAACGCCGCACTGAGCAGCCCATGTGATGCTCACAGCTTCCCGTCTCACCGTACGTACGAGCCTTCACAGTGGCCGGACCTCACAGTGTCCTGCTTTTGTTAGTGAGCAGAAGATAGCAAAGTTTAATGTACAGTACACTTGCACAAAATAAACAGCTCAGTGCTGAAAATGCCGGTAAGTGCATTACCAATGGTAATTGGACTTAACTGGCAATTTAAGTCGCCTTTCCAGACCAAATCTTTCTCTTTCCCCCCCATTAGTCCGGCTCGCTGGGGTTTTAGTGTTTTAATACCAGCAGAGGGAGCACTGGAGCACTTACAGGGAAATTACACAGCAATTTCTAACCAGATCTGAACAAAAAATAGATAATGGCTACAACAACTTGCATAGAAACTTTTGAATAAAACAATGACGCATCGTGCTTCACGAGATTCATTTGAAATGAACTTAATGTTAGTTAGCAAAGATCCTTGGACAACAACGGGTGATTAGTCAACTATCCGAGATTTTGGGGATACATTTGAGGGAGGGATAGAAACCAAGGAAAACAGGAAAAATTCCTAACTTTGAAACAGCGACAAAGGGGATCCTTTCAGGATTTTGGTTTAACGACTCAGTCAAAAAATCTGTCCTGTTTGATTTAAGTTCTATCAAACATTTTAAGTTAAAATGTACGATACCCTTGTGTAATTCTTTGAGGCTAGTCTTATGATCTTTGAGTGTAATTCAACCAGAGTAAGGCAATTATTGAATTCCAGTGGTATTCTTTAAAAAGTAAGATTTTGATAACCTTTCTAATGGGCTGGTAACCATTTATTCTTGATTTGCTGTAGGTTTTGTGAGCGCCTGGAATCTACCTTGATTGGTCTGTAGAGAGGTGAGCAGCTGCTGCTTAAACTCCACACCTCCAATGTGTCCCCGAACTGCAGACAGGAAGACGGTGGTAATGCTGTCCCGCATTTCATGCTGAGATGTGTTGACCACTGGGAAACGCCAGGGAGTTCCTGGTACCTGCCATCCACCTAGTGAGGGCTCAAACCTGCGTTTGTCAGATGTTGAATGACCAACTAGTGACTATCCTTGTAACCTAGTAAGTGGGGTCTCCTTGGAGCTGAATTGGTTCCAAGGTTATATGCCTGCCAATGGAATATCAGAATTGAGCCAACCCTCTGTGGCAGTCTTGGTAGTCTGGTTGGTTAGACTCCAGCAGTACCCCAATGCACACTCTGGAGTCCCCAAGCCTTAGCTATTGTCAACCTGTGCCTAATACTTTCTGGAATTAGGTAAACAGATTGCGTCCCTCCAGGGAGAGAGTGTGTATTCCATTCCAATCATCTATCTGGGATTTCCATGTATAGGTGGGATGCATAGAAATTTCAGTTTAGTTTGGATACTCTTAAGAATGCTGATGGTTTCCGTATGTGTTAGACATCCAGCTGACCAAAAAAATGTGATTGTTCCATCCCTTTTGTGCGTTACTGGTGGTTGAGATAACATAGCTATCATGTTCATTTTCCATTACAGACCCACATTGTGTCTATGACTCGCAAACTAGTGTCTTGTTTCTTAATGTATTAATTCTTGATTCCATGTTCAGCACAGGACTTTGTCAAACCTTTTAGGTTAATAAAAGGGAATTGGGTTCAAAGTACCTGTAACCTATTTCACAGGAATTCAAGGTGTGTCTACTGACAGAATAAATGGTCTCTGATCCGTTCTGCAATTTGGGATATTATTACTAGTGGAACTGGCTGACTATAAGCAACAGGAAGCGTATAGTGACTGTATCCAATGAACAGAAGGGATAGAAAAAAAAACTGCAAATTTGGATGATTTTTTTTAAGGTGAAAGTTTCAATAAATGAACTAGAACGTTCCACTGAAAATAGTAAAACTTAATTTTTAAACCCTTCATTTTCTTCTGGTAATTAATACAAGGATAGAATTTCCATTTGTGTAATTTTATCCACATTTAAACCTAATGTGCCATATTATTTATTGTAATTAATAGCTACAAAGTTTTAGAAATCACTTTCTAAAGGTTGCAGATCTGCCACTTACCTATGTTTATGAGCTGCAGTTATTGTTGCAGTTGAATTTGGGGAGCGTGTTTCATAAAAATGTTTAATTTTTAATTTATCCAATTTTGCCTTATTAAAAACAATTAAACATTTTACTAGGCTACCACGTGACTGGTGTCTTTATGAAAAATTGGGACACATTCGATGAACATGATACCTGTACAACCGATCAAGATTGTGAAGATGCGTACAGGGTTTGTAAGATACTCAGCATCCCCTTTCGTCAGGTTTTCTATGTGAAAGAATATTGGCATGAAGTCTTTAGGTAATATGAATAATTTCAATTTTGGCATATAAGGTATCTACTTGTAAATTTAGTCTTGTGGCATTTCTTTGGCATTTGTTAGTTTATCTTTGGCCTTTTAAGTTTAAGTAATTCACCTCACGAAGATGTTAAAACCTTGTCCTGTGGAGTCCTGTAGCTCAGTGATTAGATCACTCGCCTCGCAAACGAGAGATCTGGGTTCTGTTCCCGGCAGGGCAAAATATTGGGCAAGTTTGCTTACTCCACATGCCTCTGTTTATCTAGCACTAAGTAGGAACCTAGTTGTTAGTTGAATGGCGGCTCGCTTTTCCGGGGATAATACCTCAAAAAAAAAATTGGTCACTCAATCCACGACTGTTTGTGGGACACTGCTGTGCGCAATTGGCTGCTGCGTTTCACCCACAAATATACACTTTACACTATATTCTGTGAAGCACTTTGAGATGTCTTGAAGACGTGAAAATTGCATTTGTTATAGCAAGGGTTATTATTTGTAAACTGCAGAATTGGAGGGAGAGAGAAATAGATGTTTCTGTCCATAATCATTTATTCCAAACCAGAGCTACCTAAAAGTAATGCTTTGTTATTAACTAAAATAAAAACTTATATAGCGCCTTTTACTGTAATAATGCAAAAAACAGTTATACATATAAGTGGACAGAATTGAGGAAAAATTTAATTATAATTTGTTTTGCTGCAATTGGATGCCCTTTATCAAAAAATAATGTTCCATGCATTTTTTGAATAAAGTAGTTGCCCTCTTCTGTCGTTCACTTTAATGAGATGTTACTTGTACACATTAAATTGTATTTGCTTTTGGCTGTGCATTGTGTTGCTGTTCCAGTTATGCGGTATTATTGATTGCGACCAGCAAATCTTAAATGTAAGAGAGAAGCACTCAGGCACTGGTAATTCTCACAGAGAAGTAAAGAAAAATAGAATTATGAATCACCCGGAGCCTCTCTCAGCACCTTCTTGTACCTAAACAAGGTGTAAAAGTAGGTTACTGCTACTTTGTCCTCCCTCAGCTAACGATTAGCGTATGACACAAGGAGCTATTAATGGAAGGTGACTCTTTTTAACTACAATATTTGGTTACAGAAGAAAGAGAATTTTTGTTTGGAAACTTGTTGAGGTGCATGTTGAAAAACACATTGTTTTAAAAACACATTTTTAAATATTTTTATCTTTTTTTCTAGTTATCTAATAAAGGAATATGAAATGGGAAGGACTCCAAACCCTGACATAATGTGCAATAAAAACATCAAGTTCAAGTACTTGCTGCGGTTTGCTATGGAGACACTGGGTAACTGCTTCCAAGACTGAAAAAAGCATAACTCGGGTCAAACTTAATAATGTAGTCTGAAAGTGATGTCTAATATTATCTTGGGTTTATGTACTGCCTACATCCCTTAATTTGTCACTGAACCCACTAATATTTGAAATCAGCTGCTAGGGATTTACTAAATAAAAATGCGTACTATGCACTAAAGGTGCTTTTTTTTATTAATTATTTGCCGATTATCACACAATAAATAGTCAGTGACTACTTTTTTCAATGTGGATTTCCTTACACATTTGCTATATGGAGTGCACTGGCTTCAGCATTCTAAAACCAAGAGTTTCTTGGAAATATACAGTAGAGGTCCATTATAAGATGATAGTTGGGGGTCTATAAAATCCCAACCTGTCTTATGATGGTGCTGCAACAGCTGGTCAATGCTTCTGCATTCACTGCACATGCTTGTAATTAATCAGTTCGCTTCCTGCCTTGGTTTTCACGCTAAAAAAATGGCTGATTTTCATGTCATCGGATCTCTATGATTTTCTGCACACTTGGGCAGTGAATGTTGCCTAATTTCAATTCACACAATAAGCGGACCGGCAATATAATAACTAAAGTTTATTGTAAAGACTGCACTGGCTGCCTATCCCAGAGAGGATCGATTTCAAGATCCTCACTTGTATTCAAGTCCCTGCACTCCTCTGCGCCTTCCTACCTCTGTGACCTCCTCTCCTAAATAAATAAACGGCTTCTCCTCCGGCTCTCACCAGGTCACCTGCGGGGTACCCCAAGGATGCATCCTTGGCCTCCTCTTTCTGATCTACATGCTCCCTCTTGGGAATGTCATCTGCAGACGTGAGGTACATTTCCACATGTATGCAAATGACACCCAACTCTATCTTTCCACCTCTCTTTGCGACCACCAGTCCCCTGATGTTCTGTCAGCCTGCCTGTCAGATCTCAGGGGCTGGATGAGCGCAAACTTCCTTCAGCTGAACGTTGACGAGATGGAAGCCATACTCTTTGGCTCTTGTCAACATCTAAAATCTCACGGCTCTCACCTACCCACCTCCCCCTAAAACTCTCCGAACCCGTACGCAACCTAGCCGTTAGGTTCAACCCCCAATTATCCTTCCTCCCCCACATCTGGTCCCTAACCAGCACCACTTTCTTCCACCTCCGACGCATTGCTCGTCTCCGCCAAGACCTCTCCTCAAAAGCCGCTGAAACCCTGGTCCATGTCTTTGTCACCTCTCGGCTGGACTATAACGCCCTCCTCGCCTGTCTCCCATCCACTGCCATCCATAAAATCCAAATCATCCAGAACTCTGCCGCCCGCATTCTCACCCGCACGAAACCCCGCTCCCCGATCACCCCAGTCCTTGCCAGATTGCACTGGCTGCCTATCCCAGAGAGGATTGATTTCAAGATGCTCACCTTTATATTCAAATCCCTGCACTCCTCTGCATCCCCCGACCTCTCTCCTCAAAACAGTATCCATTGCCTTCGTTTCTCCGGGTCTGGCCTCCTCCGAGTTCTCCGCTCCACCCTCAGCGGCCGTGCCTTCAGCCACTATGCCCTGAGGCTCTGGAACTACCTTCCTCACTCCCTTCACCTCGCTCCCTCCCTTCCCATTTTCAGGTCTCTGCTGAAGACCTTTCTTTTCGACTGTGCCTTTGCTCACCTTCCTCCCCCTCCCGCTGACTTGGTCCCGAGATTCATTACTGTAAAGCGCTCTGAGACGCCGTCCGGCGTGGAGGGCGCTATATAAATCCAAGTTGTTGTTGTAACAAACCAGAGTTCCACAGTGTCAGTATAACTTGGTGTTTTTTTTGAGACAGGAGCAGATTCAATGGCAACGGGTCATTACGCAAGAACATCACAAGGGGACGAACAAGTTTTCCAGCGAAAATCTGGAAGTATTGAAGGAATTTGTCATAACCACTATAATGATGGTGAGTGCACATGGCTTTAATTCTTTAACCCCCAAGAATCCTGAAACACTTGTATTGGGCGTTGCCCAATGTGAAGGTGCTGTATAATGCAAATTTTGGACTTGCTAACGAGTGGAAATAGCCTATCAATGTCCACCTTATGGAATCCTTTCATAAATTTAAATACCTCTATCAAGTCCTTTTTCAATCATTTCTTCTCCAGTTGTTGATCAGTCAGTAGCACATCACCATTGAGTCAGAAGGTTGTGGGTTCAAGCCGGATGTCACAACTTTGAGCTTGATACAAATACATTTGAAGCCCTTAGAAATTAATGAAGCAATGCAGTGAGATGTCACAGACCTGTAGTTAAGCATCCAATTATAGTATTTAGTGGAATATTGTGTAAGTCAAATCCATATATCTGAATTGAATCCATATTTGTTTCCAGTTAGTTATAGAATTCCATAGGATAGTCCAAAATCCAACCTCTTCCATTGTTTAACAGGTTTGTCTTTACAAAATAATAGTTGCTGTTGGAGTAGAAAAGTTAGATGTTTATCTTACATGATGTTTGTGCATGTAATAAGGTAATGAAATGTGGAACATCTTTAAACAGATGTTTGTAAAAATGTTAAATACACTACCCTAAGACCATGTATGGAGTATTGAGTATGGAAAAAAGACAAGGAAATGGGATTAATAGAACTGTTGTGGTGAGCAATCTCAGTTGATTGAATGGCCTCCTCCTGTTCCTAAGTATATCTTGGGTATTTTGCTATTGTTTCTGTCCTGGTACCTCTACACAAATAAATCTTTATTCTAGATTTGATTATTCTGTGTCTGAAGACTCTGTCCTGGTCCATCTCTTAACTGCTGTCATGATCTGTCAGCCACAGTTTGATTTCAAACATATTATACTGCTTTATTGGTTACTTCTGGTTTCACATATTTATTCATAGCATGTTTCAGGACATTTAAAGGCCCTTCGACCGGTCAAGTCTGTGCTGATGCTAACACCCCACTGGAGCTGTCTGATCTAATTCTATTCTGTACCAGTAATATTTTTTCCTCAGATTTTTTTTGTATATGCTTATGGACTCAAATTCAGCAGCAATTTGTATTAAAGCACATTCTACAACCCTCTGTGAAAAACTTCAAACTGCCTCCTTTTTCCATCTGGTTATGATCTCGACCTGTGTAATTTTGTCACTGACTCACAAATCATTGAAAATGGTCTTTCTCCATTTAGCCTACAAAAAACCTTTATAATTTTGATAACGTAAATTAGATCTCTTCTCTTAAACCTTCTCTGCTTCAGTAAAAACAGTAGTATCTCAAGAATAGGCTTTAATCATATGAAAAGACCGAAGTGTACCACATGAGTTGAGCTGAATACCTTATGAGTTGTACCTTACATATATATACAGTCAATTCACTTTACTGCCTATTCTGTGAAGCGCTTTGAGACGTCTAGAAGACGTGAAAAGCGCTATATCAAATGCAAGGATTATTATTACATATAATCAGGTCTATAGAATCATACAGCACAGAAAGAGGCCATTCAGCCCATCGTGTCTGCGCCAGCTCTGAAAAGAGCAATCCAACTCTATCCCACTTTTTCTCCATAGCCCTGCAATCCTGTCCTCCCCAAATACCCATCTACTTCTCTCTTAAAAGTTGTTATTGAATCGGCTTCCACTACCCTTTCAGGTAATGCATTTCAGATCTGAACAACTCACTGGGTGAAAAAAAAATTCCTAACCTCCCCTCTGTTTCTTTTAACAACTATCTTAAATTGATGATAGTCAGGCTTCCGTCTGCGCTGAACATTTCTATGACTCTGTCTGTAATGTACTAACTCTTTCTGATTCTGTGGAGCAGCTGTGAAACTCCTGCAGGCGGCTGACCCCTCAAAAGATCAAACTTTCTTCCTGAGTCAGATATCTCAGCATGCCCTGCGGCACACCATCTTCCCCCTCGGGGAGCTGAGAAAGGACGTTGTCAAGAAGATAGCAGCAGAGGCGGGATTTCATCATGTATTAAAAAGAAAAGAAGTAAGGCATTATGTTATGTCATTCTTATTTCTGAACCTCAGCTGAACGTTCCCTAACATTTGGTCATTTGCTTTCTGCTTACAGAGTATGGGAATCTGCTTTATAGGGGAAAGAAAGTTTGAAAAGTTCATTCTTCAGGTTGGTGTGGCATCTTCACTATCAATGATATTTTGTTGTCTCCTTTGAGCAACAGATTGTCTGTCAATGCCGGGAAACGTTCACTCTGCACACTCAGGGTCAGGTACATTCAGGTCATGACGCATTTACTGAAACAACCCGCATTAGAATTGTAGGCATATATTTCCTGAACATGTAGTTATGTTTAAACTACAAAAATGTTAATTTGAATAGTGCAGCACTTACCAAGAGTTTGTCGCAGGAGCTCAGCTTAGGCCGGGTGCCGGGCGAAGCCGATTTCCCACTCGCGCCACTTCCGTGATCCAACACTTCCTGCGTCTTGCGTGCGTGACGGGAGCTGCTCCACCCTCAGTAGCAGCGACGAGCAACCAGCACGAGAGGCCTGGAGCCTAGCACATTGTGTGCAGGTTTATAGCGGAGGGCATGTTTATAGCGGGTTCTGCAGAAAACGTGGTATGAGGCATATGCGATGACCCAACACTATGCCTTGAGCCTGAACTCTAAAGAGCATTTCCACTGTTCCAATTTGATGGTTCGGTGTCTTAGATCAGCCTATGTTATGGGTGGTTTGAGTGAAACAGCTAATTTACTGCTGAATTAATTATGAGATGTTTTTCTGTTGGAGACTTAGGCAAATTAAAAGCCAGGTTTCAATCTCTAAATTTACTTTACCTAAGCTGCTTACACCTGACAGAGTCTAGTCTTTTATCCCAAAACCTGGGCTAGAGTAAAATCCAGGTTCCAGAGGTGTCGAGTCTCTCATTCCATTCAAGTAGTTAAAAACCCATTGTGCCTACTCCTATTCAATTTAGTCATGTTTTAGTTACATAGAGCGAAATGGCTCAGAAACTGGGCATTTGGTCCAACTAGTTCATGCTGTTGTTTATACTCCACATGAGCCTCCACTTCCTAATACTCTCTCCATACCCATGTGGAGTCCTGTAGTGGTCAGGGCACTTGCCTCGCAAGTGAGAGATCTGGGTTCGATTCCCAGGCTGGACGAAATGTTGGGCAAGTTTCCTTACTCCACATACCTCTGTTTACCCAGCAGTAAGTAGGAACTCTGTTGTAAGTCGATTGGCTGATCTCTTTTCCGGGGAAAATAATTCCTTTCTAAAAAAACAAATGATCATTCAATCCACGACTGTTTGTGGGACACTGCTGTACGCACCTGACTTTAGCGTTTTGCCCACAAACTATACAGTCAATTCACTTTACAGTATATTCTGTGAAGCGCTTTGAGACTTCTCAGATGTGATAAGGTGCGATATCAAATGGGTTTCCAATTGTTGGTCAGTCCATTACTAGAATAAGATGGCTGGTGGCAGATCTAATAGGGAGTTTAGGAAGAACATCTTCATGCAGAGGATGCTTCATGATTATTATTATTATTCTCTTGCTATTTGCTTCAACTGCAGCTTCCAGCACTGAATTTCATATTATTACCATCCTCTGCATGAATATGTTCCTCCTAAACTCCCTATTAGATCTGCCACCGGCCATCTTATTCTAGTAATGGACTGACCAATGATTGGAAACCTATAATTTTTACACTGTTAGCTATTTTTGAGGAAGTTGCTTTATCTTAACTGCAAAAGAAAGCTAAATAATGTTTGTAAAACTTTTTTTTAGTATCTAGAACCTCGTCCTGGAAACTTTGTTTCTATAGAAGATGGAAAGATAATGGGAACACACAAAGGTAGTTGGCATAATGTTTTTAAAATATTTTATTATTCATTTTTCACCAATCAAGAGATAATAATAATAATCTTTCCATTCGATATAGTGCCTTATGTCTTCAAGACGTCTCACAGTGCATCACAGAATATACTGTAAAGTGAATTGACTGTGTATTTTGTGGGTGAAACTTGGCAGCCAGTTTTGGATAGCAGTGTCCCACAAACAGTCGTGGATTGAGTGACCAAATTATTGTTTTTTTTTTGAAAGAGTTATTACCCCCAGAAAAGCGATCCGCCAATTGTCTAACAACCGGGTTCCTACTTACTGCTAGGTAAACAGAGGCGTGTGGAGTAAGGAAACTTGCCCAACACTTTGCCCTGCTGGGAATCAAACCCAGGCCTCATGCTTGCAGGCGAGCGCTCTAACCACTGAACTACAAGACTCCATGGGAACATATGAGGAAAGAAAATGGATTAAAGGTGGTGGAAGCACTATAACCAATGATAACCACTATAACCAGTGATGGTTTGTGAAGGACTCCTGTTCATTTTTTTAATATAGTAATGATCCTTAAATTTCATAAAGCACCTTTCATGTTGGGACGACATCTCAAAGTGCTTCATGAGATATGGTGTTAAGTACTATATTTTGTAGATGAATGCAGGAGCTAATTTGTGCACAGCAATGACCACAGACAGCCATCAAGTGAATGACTAATTTTATTTGGGGCTTGTTGGCCAGACGTCCCTGAGAAATAGCTTCTCTTTTCACATAGTATCATGGGATCTTTAACATCCCCTGATCAGGCAGACAGTTTAACATCTCAATTGAAGGATAGCACCTGCAACAATGCATCTGTACACCCCCAGCACTGTATTGGAGTCTCCCTAGAGTAGACTATTAAATCAGCTGGCATAACATTGACAATTTTTTTTGGCACTATGTTTAACATTTGACAATTGAATTGCTCCTTTGTTCTTTATTTTAATTTTCAGGTTGGTTTCTGTTTACTTTGGGACAACGAGCCAGAATAGGTGGTCAAACAGATGCCTGGTTCGTAGTGGATAAAGAGATTAGTACAGGAGATGTATTTGTGGTGAGTGTTGCTAAAAGTGATATTAACCGAACAACAGATCTACACTGGGTACTTCATTTTATGTGCTCCATGCGCTCGCTTCATCTCACCCGCTCTGTCTATCTTAAAATCTCAACGAGCAATCCACCTCTTCAACCACACCTATCCCCTCCTCCCTTGTTTGGGGCTCAACATAGTGCTGTGAAGCACTTCGAGATGGTATCCTACCCTGGGAAGGGTGCTATATAAATGCAAGTTGTTTGTATCAAATAATAACATTAACCTGGTAGAGATTTGTGGAATGCTCCACTAATGTTATATAGTATCATAGAATATTACAGCGCAGATGGAGGCCATTTGGCCCTTCGTGCCTGTGCTGGCTCTTTGGAAGAGCTACCAAATCAGTCTCACTTCCCTGCTCTTTCCCCATATCCTTGCAATTTTTCCTTTTCAAGTACCTAACCGATTCGCTTTTGAAGGTTGTTATTGAATCTGTTTCCACCACCTTTCAGGCAGTGCATTCCAGACTGTAACAACTCTGTATATAAAAAAATTCTCCTCATCTCCCCTCTTTTTTTTTTGCCAATTATCTTAAATCTATGTGCCCTGGTTACTGACCCACCTGATAGTGGAAACAGTTAGGAGTCCCTGTCTATTCTTAGCAAAACCCCTTATAATTTTGGACACCTTTATTAAATCTCCCCTTAACATTCTCTGCTCTAAGGAGAACAATCCCAGCTTCTCTAATCTCCACATAACTACTCATCCCTCATCATTAGTACCATTCTGGTAAATCTTCTGTGCACCCTCTCCAAGGCCTTGATATCCCTCCTAAAGTGTGGTGCCCAAAGTTAAATTAGTTAAATTCTTCAGATCCACCTGCCTTCCTTACAGTGTGACTACATTAATGACACTTGTCAACAAGAGAGCCATGAAGTGAATGCCCAATATTTATATGGAGGATTCTTGGCGAGTAAACTGGGAGAAACACTTTTTTTACAAGGGTGAGGAAAAATCCAATCTTTCTTCGGAGCATAAGACCCATCCACCTTCCTGCCTTGAGAATAGTCCATTGGTCTGTTGCGACACATTTCTTTGAATTTGTCGAAGAATCAGGAAACTGTCTTAGTCTTCCACCTTTTCTATTTGATCACTTTGTCGTGATGAAAATGCTATTAAAAATGTAGGTTCTAAAATTTCCATTATGGGGTCTGCATAATGTAAATTCTGATGTTTATTATCTGGCAGGCTCCAGGCAACAGTCACCCAGCTTTGTACAGAGATTCTCTCCAAACTAATTCTGTCCATTGGATAACGGGGGAACCACCCATTGAACTGCAAAGGGACAAAGTGATGCATTGCAACTTTCGGTTCCAGCATCGGATGCCACTTGGTACGAGCTTGTTCATATCAGCCATCTCAGCATAATGATACGTTTACCTCTGAATGAAGTGTTCATTGTCTGTACCATTGTTCATTAGTTTGGTCTTAATTTTTAAAGGTTCTTCTGTGTATGTGCTAATATGTGATGCCACTATCAACAGCGCTCAGCAAAAGCAGAGTTTTTGCCGTAACCTAAGTAGCAGGAAGGATTTGAGATTTCCTAGATCTTGCAGTTCACCACTGCCACAGAGATGCCAGTGCCTTGAATGATGAATGAGATGATTGTTTTCTGTGGTGAATGTTGTACTCAAACCCTGCGTGAGGGGCACTACATAAATGTAAGGTGTTGCTGTGCTCAACAAGATGGGTGGGGGCAGAGAACTGCTTCACTTTTTATAACCTGTATCAGAATTTCCAGCTCATTAAAAAAAACACATTTCCAGGTCCAGTGTAAAGTGGAGTAATCCCGGTATGGAATTCCCCATGTGCCCATCACCCTTTTGGCCTTTCACACCGAGCTTCACTGATGAATTTCGCGTTTTATACCCACTAGACTGAGTGCTCAAACCTAATTTACTTATAAACTTCATAGCTGGTATAGACTCAATAGATGAACCAGCTCACACAAAATTTGAATAGGTAAAAGAGCAACTAACATTCATTGTAACTCACCTGCCCTCTCCTCCCCAGCATAAAGAATGTAAATAATACAGCTTTTAACCTAAACATTGAGTAACCTCCAAGAAGATGGACTTCTCTTACAGCTCGTGTCACTTTATTGGCTTGTATTAATCTATAAATAAATAAATAAATAAATAATCCTTGCATTTGATATAGCGCTTTTCACGTCGGGAGGACGTCCCAAAGCGCTTCACAGAACACACTGTAAAATGAATTGACTGTATATTTGTGGGCGAACGTGGCAGCCAATTGCGCACAGCAATGTCCCACAAACAGTCGTAGCTTGAAAATGACCAATTTTATTATTGTTTTTGGTTTTTGGAGGGATTATTATTAGGTATGTGGAGTAACTTGCCCAAGGTTTCGCCCTGCCTGGAATTGAACTCGGGTCTCTCGCTTGCAAAGCGAATGCTCTAACCACTGAGCTACAGGACTTCACAAATGTTATTCATGTGGTGCATAAAAAAAGTTGCACAATACCTGAGTACACTAGGAAAAGGGCTTCGCACTTTGTATTCTATTTATTCCAATTTTGTATACTTTTTTCTTTCAGTTCAGTGTACACTAACTCGAAATCCAGATGGTACTGTTTGGGTGACACTTGCTAAGACAGTCAGAGCCATCACACCAGGACAAGTGAGTTACATTTTTCTTCTTGCGTCTCGTATGCCCCATGTAGTCTGATTGAAGCAAATAAAATGGAATACACAGACACTATCACACTGAAGCCGATGTAACGTGCCTTAATTATAGATTGCACTTTGGTGAAAATTTTGGTTGAAAGGGTATGATATATTGAATAGGGTACAAATATGTTTTATTTCTCATCTTAAGATCAGCGAATTGTCCCACAATAATCTTTTCCTGGCTTGAACATTCCTATGTTCCTGTACTCTTTGAATGAAGTGACAATGGTTTTCTTTTTGAGAAATTCTGTTGCTTGCCAGCCCCCACCTAAACTGCCGTCCAATTCGCACTCTGAAAAATATCTGTGATCCAATGGAAACAATGAAGATAGTTTAGAAAATCTGATAACAATCTGGGGTTCAAGTGGCACACGTAGTGTAGGAGTACACTGCTGACAGCTGCTGTCAGCAGGCAGGGTGGGTACACTGCTATTCCCCCCCCCACCCTGCAATACTGTGCATACTTTCCTAAGAAGGGTTGTGAGATGTCCTGGAATCCTGACACGATGCTCGATTGCCATATTTGGAAGGCTGCTGAAATAGGAAGATTTATTCTAGCACAATCAGTGGGTTTGGAATTTGACTTGAGGTGGGAGACCATTCAGAGAGAAAATCTCACGCTGTGTTTATTCTGCTTGTTTGGTGCCAAATCAGAATGATTTTGGCAGTGTATTAAATATTGATCAATATTTCAGAATATTTAATATTTAAAAATACAGTATTAAATATTGATCAATATTTAAGAATGCTGGAGTCCTGCTCCTGATACCCCCTGGAGGAGCTGTGATGTGATTTGCAGTGCTGCAGTATAAATACAAACAACAACAGGAAATTACATTTGTAATAGGCGGGAGGACGTCACAAGATGCTAGATGGTCAGGGATTTGGACCCGAGCAGGGGGTTGGGATCAGGAGGAATGGATGACAGGAAGGGTAGTGGTAGGAGGTGGCCGAAGGGACTTGAAAGAGGCAAGGGAGGGAGCAAGGCTAAGGGACTGTGGGATGAGTTCCAAAGGGTGGGGCAGAGAGGCTAAAGGCCTGACCGCCAATGGTGTGGCGAGCTGGACGAGAGTATAAATTGCACTGTGCCTGCTCCCCTGGTTTTTGTTCACTGCACTGAAAGCATGGTCAAAGAGGTACATTTTGAGATATATTTTAAAAGAGGGAAGGGAGGGAGCAAATTGGAAGGACCTTGGATTAGTGTTCCAGATTGCAAAGTGGCTGGAAGCTGGCCTGCAAATGGTGGGGTGGATAGAACAGGGAATGTGGAGTAGGCCAGTGTCGGATGAGTGAAGGGAATGGCCAGGTTAGTATAAATGAAGAAGGTAAGAGGTGTAAGGATTGAAGAGGTCTAACACTGAGTTTTGTTGTTGATTTCAGTTTGCAGTGTTCTATAAGGACGGTGAATGCCTCGGCAGTGGGAAGATTATGGAGATTGGACCTTCCATGTACATGACACATCAGGTCAAAAAGAGAACAAAACTGACAAATCCAAGTTGACAGATACAGCCCCACATCGACCTGTTGAAGAATCCCCCACCTAAACTGCCATCCAATTTTCACATTGAAAAATGGCTGTGATCCAATGGAAGCAATCATGATACTTGAGAAAATCTGCAAACAAGCACAAGCAGTATTGAAATGCAGATTTGTCAAAACAACTATAATAAAGTGACAATGATAGCAAAATATTACATATTGAGGAATTCAAGAATAACTGATGATTATTTCTCCCTCTTTTTAGTGACAAGAGATATGTAATCAACAAAAATAAAATTACATTTGTACAACGCCTTTCACATCAAGAGGACATCTCAAGGCGCTGGACAGACAGTGTTACGGACCCGAGCTGAATCCCAGTTCAGACAAGCATTCTTAAATGATTACCCCAGTTGATACCAATATCTGCTGATAAATGTGGTCTCCCCTTGACAGTACAATTACTGTATCTGCAAAAGGCAGTGCATTGATTCAGTAGAATTGAGAAGCAGTGCATTCAGCTATCAGAGTAATCCAATGGTAAACACTTTAGTAAACACCTTGTCAATTGCATTTTGCAATTGCTTTTTCTTTAAAAATGGATCACTGTTTTAAATAAATAATTTTCTGTATGGAATAAAGATATTTTAACTCTAAAGAATATATGGATCCCTATTGTTTATACCAATAACCTACACTTAGCTGAATTTTTTTCTATGTACTGCATTAATTTTAAAAAAAATCTCATAATAATAATATAAAATAATCCTTGCATTTGATATGGCACCTTATCACTTCGTTGAGATGTCTCAAAGTGCTTCACAGAAGATACTGTAAAGTAAATTGCCTCTGTGTTTTGGGGGTGAAACATGGCTGCTAATTGCGCATAGGGAGGAAGAATGAGGAGAAGCAATATAAACTAGATGGTACAATCTTAAAAAGTGTTGTAGGAACAGAGAGACTTGGGGGTCCACATAAGCAAATCTTTGAAGGTGGCAGGATAAGTAGGTAAAGCTATTAAAAAAATATACAGGGTACTAGGCTTTACAAATAGGGACATAGAATACAAAAGTAAGGAGGTTATGATGAACTTTTGTAAAACACTGGTTAGGCCTCAGCTACAGACTGTTCTGTTCTGGGCACCACACTTTAGGAAGGATGTCAAGGTCTTGGAGTGGATTCAAAGAGGAGATTTACCCGGAATTACCAGGAATGTGGGGCTTCAGTTATCAGGAGAGGCTAGAGAAGCTAGGATTATTCTCCTTAGAGCAGAGAAGGTTAAGGGAAGAGGTGTTCAAAATTATGAGATGATTCGATAGGGTGAACAAGGAGAAACTGTTTCCACTGATGGGTGGGTCGGTAACCAGAGGAAACCGATTTAAAATAGTGCCAAAGAACCAGAGGGGAGATGAAGAGAAATGTTTTCACACAGTGAGTTGTTAGGATCTGGAATGCATTGCCTGAAAGGGTGGTGGAAGCCAATTCGATAACAACTTTGAGAAGTAGATATTTAGGAAGGACAAATTTGTAGGGCTATGGGCAGAGAGTGGGGGAGTGGGATTAATTTGGATAGCTCTTTCAAAGAGCCAGCACGGACACCATGGGCAGAATGGCTTCCTTCTGTGCTGTATGGTTCTATGATAGCTGTGTGCCACAAACAGTCGGGGATTGAGCGACCCAATTTGTTTTTAAGTAATATTACGATCCACCAATCAATTTAACCTTCAGCTCCCCTCTCGACTCTCTACCCCCTCCTCGCTCCCTCCCTTCCCTCCCCTCACCCTGACCATTTCCCCCCTGCTCGGGTCCTGACCCAACTGTACAGCGCCTTGGGACGTCCTCCCGACGTGAAAGGCGCTCTATAAATGGAATCTTGTTGTTGTTAACAACCAAGTTCCTACTTACTGTTAGGTAAACAGCCTTGTGGAATAAGGAAACATTGCCTAAAGTGTTGCCCTGCTGGGAATCAAACTCAGGTCCTCTCATTTGCAAGGGAACACACTTGCCTCATCCCAACAATAATATTCTGTGGCATTTAAGATGAATCATGGTTAACCTTGAAGAGGTAAACGCATAATCATACTTTTTTAACTGTTTGACTCACAGACAAAGGAATGTTGACAAATTAAAGATCTGAAGCTCATGATGCGTGTGTCCATCTGTAGACATCTTCACATGAGTCTCGTCAAATTATACACATGCTATCAATGCCCAGGAAATCCAGTTGAATTATTTGAAAGATTACTCTAATTATTTTTGTTTCACAAAACTAACCTGACCTTTCAGAGAGCTCTTGAGTTTTCAGGTAGCTAAATTTATATGATAGTAAGATAACAACAAGATTACATTTGTATAGCGCCTTTCACATCGGGAGATTTCCCAAGGTCCTGGACAGTGTACAGCATTTCAGACCCGAGCTGGGGTCAGGGGGAGAAGGGATACAAATATACAGCACGAAAGCTCCTTGACATTTATCGCTAGTTGGATTTTTCAAGGGTAAATTATGTAAGATGAGATATTCATCTATTAAGATTGAAGGTACATAAGACTAGGGCATATTATCACCAGGTTAAAGTAGAAAAATTCACATATTTTCAGTGTATAATCTTGGGCCTGGATGGACTGGTACTGTTTACACACTGAAAAGAAAAGATGAACATGCATCCTGGGATGCGAGAGTTTAGCAATGATATCTGCCTTTCTGATAGCGCATCTTACAAAATAGACTAAAATGATTTTGTGAAACAAAACATGCCAAATATGTCTGCAATCCTTTGGAAATAACTAAGCAAACAGATTCCTGTAATTTCACAAAGGATGAGACAGGAGCAAAGAATTAGTATTCTAGCTAAAAGAATTTTAGCAATTGATAGAATAATAAAATAGGAGAATGTGTTAAAGTACAAATGGACTTTTCTCTGAAAGGACCCTAACAGATGGGAGATTAGCTTGGAGATATTACTGCCAATTAACATTCTTTTCAGAACTCACACAAACCACGTTGGATAAAAGATGCTGTTATGAAGACTGGAATTTTATCTATTGATAAATACACTGATGATAGCTAGCAGCAACAGCAATTGCTTGTAAGGCACATCCTGTTTCTGCAAATTAATTTGCTAATAGTTATAGATATAAATTAAATTTGACCTTTAGATACAGACATTATGACCAAGTGGAGCTCTTATAAAATTGTTCTGGATAAGATGACTGACCTTTTAACTATACCGTTTCGTTCATTATTTAACTAACACTTTGTATGGTACCAGCAGAGCGTGCAGCACAATTTTATTTCAGTTACTAGCTTCCATTTGTAAGTTGCACCACAAAGAATTTCCAGTGTTTTTTGTGCTTCACCCATCTTACAAATGATTCTGTAATGGCAAACAAGCTGCCATTGTAATTGTTGAAATTGATACCTGACTGTGGTGACACACCAAGTGAAGAGACAGTGGAGGCAAGTCAGTATTCTGTAATTAACTTAGGGATCCCGTACTACAGACAAGTCTTCAAAGAATCATCGAATTATACAGCACAGAAGGAGGCCATTCGGCCCATCATGTCTGTGCCGGCTCTTTGAAAAGAGCAATCCAAATCAATCCCACTCCCCCGCGCTCTTCCTATAGCCCTGCAAACGTGTCCTCCCAAAATAATTAACTACTCTCTTGAAAGCTGTTATCGAATCGGCTTCCACCACCCTTTCAGGCAATGCATTCCAGATACGAACAACTCGCTGTGGGAAAACATTTCTCCTCACCTCCACTCTATTTGTGGAGTCCTGTAGTTCAGTGCTTAGAGCACTCGCTTTGCAAGCGAGAGACCTGAGTTCAATTCCAGGCAGAGCGAAACCTTGGGCAAGTTTCCTTACTCCACACACCTAATAATAATCCCTCCAAAAAACAAAAACAGTAATAAATTGGTCATTTTCAATCTACGACTGTTTGTGGAACATTGCTGTGCACAATTGGCTGCTGCGTTCGCCCAGAAATATACAGTCAATTCACTTTACAGTATATTCTGTGAAGCGCTTTGAGACATCGAGAAAACGTGAAAAGCGTTATATCAAATGCAAGGATTATTATTGGTTTCATTTTTTATTAAGAATTTTTTAAAGAAATACCACAAAGTAAATTCCCACACTGTCAAAGAGCAATAAAATGTGGATTTTCAAAGCTTAGTGGTTTGTGCGCTCACCTCACAAGCGAGAGGATCCAGGTTTGATTCCTGGTATATATGATATACATGATATATATCAAATGCAAGGATTATTATTAAAGTCAAAAATGAAAGAAATCTTAGACCAGATGTTAGACCAGACCAATGTTTAGCATCACATTGAATGTATTGTGAAATACAGCAAATTCCACCCTACAACTTCATAATCACATTCAAATATCCCACTCCTGATAATTGGCACCATCTAATCCAGTAGAAAACAATATTCATCAAAGTACAATACAGAATTCATATATCCTGTTCCATTTTGAATTATCCATATTGTACGGTTGTTATTGTTACCTGTTGAGTTTCTAACAAATATTGAAACCACCTTTTGACAAACTGATCATTTTCAGCCATTTATCTTTCTGAGCAAATGATGTTCGTATGTTCAATCTCTGGATTTCTATCTGTTTATTTTTCCAATTACAAGATCATTACTGTCTTTATAATATCTTTCTTCAGCTCACATTCAGTACTGATCTGGTTTACAATTCAATATTCAGGGAGGCCAGAAAAAAATAAACTAACAAATGTCTTGAAGAAAAGCAGCCAAATCATTCAAAGTTTCAGCAGCTCATGAAATACGGTTGGCTCTAAATAGAGAGAGTTGCTGTATAGAGACAGGTCAGGTTAGGAGAAAGCATTATCTACTGCTTTATTCAAAATGAAAAGATGCTGTGTTTAACTACATGAGTTGTAGAGTGACATTTTACAGCACAATTACTCATTGATTTTTTGTCACATTCCTGGTGTAAGAGCACTCGCCTTGGTTAGAGCACTTGTCTTGAAAGCAAGAGGACACGGGTTTGATTCCCGGTCCAGGCAAACATTAGGCAAGTTTCCTTATTCCACACGCCTCAGTTTACCCAGTAGTAAGTAGGAATCCGGTTGTTAGTCGATTGGTGGATCGCTTTTCCGTGGGCAATAATCCCTTTTAAAAATATAAACTGGTCACTCAATCAACGACTGTTTGTGGGACACTGCTATGTGCAATTGGCTGCTGCGTTTCACCCACAAAATATACAGTCAGTTCTCTTTACATTATATTCTGTGAAGCGCTTTGAGATATCTCGAAGATGCAATAAGCTGCTATATCAAATGCAAGGATTATTATTATTCCAGTACCATCCCTGAGCACGCCAGCTATGAATTAGAGCTTCGAGATATTAGGAGCGCTACATCTCTCACATGTGAGGAAATTTCCATGTGTAGACGGAAAACATATGTAGAACTGTTTGTCTGGTTTGGATACTCTTAAGCATAGTTAAGCATGGCGTTGATGGGTTTCCTCATGTGTCACCTCAGCACACCAAAAAATATTTGCAAAAGTAGATGTGCTTCCATTAGATGGCGATGTTGAGGTGTTTTCTCTTTGCATTTTCTGTCAGAAAATTTATTCTTGTTCAGCAGCTCAGGTAACATACAGATTG